GTGGGAAGAAATTTTATACCAGAAAGAACTAGTTGAACAGCATTCTATGATTTTAAAATTGTCCTTTATATGAGATCTATCTTAGATAAATGCAACTAATAATTTAAACTTATCCCCACAAAACGCTTCTAACTAAATTTTTAATTTACAAACAACACTTTTTAGTCTAAATGACAAGCTTAACAAGAAATTTGATTTGCCTTCAAAAAAGGTATAATACAGTTTGAGAGTACTTCGAAACTTTATTTTCTGTTGACGACCAAATTTCATAAATCCATGTGCAGTCGTTCTACATTACCATACATATGTAAGTAAAAATTTATTATAAAGTATCCTTAACGATGACTATCTGACAAAAACATTATATTACCACTATAAATTTGTGTCGAAATAAATGATTAGATGGACTTTATATTGTGATTTTTAATAAATCATGAGACATCAATAAGACCAATCTCATTTTTACGATATCATCAGCAACAGCCTACTGTAGGAGAGAACAAACCAGCTTTCATCTGAAGAGGAAATTAGAAAAAGACTTTGGAAGTAGATTGGACAGACATTGAGGAAACCATCAAACTGCATCACAAGACAAGCGCTAACTTGGAATCCTGAAAGGAAACGAAAAAGAGAAAGGCCAAAGAACACAATGCATCGAGAACCGGAAGCAGACATGAAAAGGATGAATAGGAACTAGAAACAACTGGGAAGGATTATTTAGGACAGAGTTCGATGAATGCTGGTGGACGGCCTATACTTCTCGAAGAGAGGTGACAGGCGTAAGTATTTTTGCAATGACAACATCCTAATAGAAACTGACATAATTTCAAGAATTATCCAAACTATTAACTCGCTTCAAAATGTCAGATTCGGAACAATTACCGAAGGAGGTTAATTTATAAAAATCCGTCTTAAACAGCTAAAATTAAACAACAAAGGTGAACTATAATTTTGCATAAGTTGGTACTCTTCAACAAAATAAACCCTCAACCATATGTAAAAGAACACTTGTCGATTGATTCGAGTTCCTATCACCTGATATTATTTAAAGTTACCATCAAGTTATTATAGCACCTGCTACGGAATTTAAATATTTATTTAAATATTAACCAGTGTTATATTTGTTCAAATCTAAGTGATGATCGAATTCAATTGACCAGCATTATACAGTATAGCAGCACATGTACATTTGAGTTTGTTCACATTCAATCTGGCTAAGTTCTTTTGTTAACTTATTTAACGGATAGAGTTATCCATACAATAACAAATTATCTTATACCATTGTACCTTTATTATTATTGCACTTGTATGAATATGTATGCTTGAGCATTGCTAACATGAAAAAAGTTGAGATTATAACCCATATTATGTACATAAAAATAGTTTCAACAACAACAACAACAAAACAAACCCAGTAATTCTAATAATTCGAGTAGAATAAGGACGGAAAAACAAGAAAAGATTATTTCATACGTTATTTTGATTAATTTTACAGAATAGAAAATAATGACGATTTGATACGTACATGTAAATAATATGACTTATCAGATAGAAAGGAATACAGTCAATAAATATGTACTTCATTTACTTGAAGTTAGTAAGGTAGCATTGAATTTATTCTATGATTAAAAATAACACTGACCAACAATCATCAATTCAAATACTGATTGATCCCTAAATAGAAATTAATATCAGGTATATCCACTCATTTAGTATTAATCGAATTCTATCGATGTGAATAGCTCGACGGTAGCATTAACGATAATGAAGTTGGTTAATACGAATTTAAATTCGCCAGAGAATATCAGTTTTGTAAAGATTACATGTACACCTCAGTGACAAGTACTGTAATAACATGAAACTTAGGTTGAATAAGGTTTTTCTTTCGATTAACTCATATCTGATATGATGGAAAGAAAAGTCACTTTTCGATTGATTTACTCATTATGAGTTTTGGTTCAAGACTACTGCCGTTTTGATTCAATGTAATGATTACTCAATGTAGTATTTGTTTTCTTTTCTCGTATGATATTTTATTCTGTATAATATGCGATATTCTTCTATCCCATTGACGTAAACTATGCTCAGTATGGAATTTGTTATAACTCGAAGTATTTTTTATATATGTGATTGCATCTTAATTATTAATCGAAATGGGTGTACAATCAATATATAAATAAGTGTATTTTTTACTAGGGTCGTTGTCGTTGTGTTTTGAGTGTTTAAATAAATCTTCACTAAGACCAGTCTTTGTGTTCTTATTTTCGCGTCGTGGGAATTGCACAGATTGCACGTTTCGAGTATAAGTGATAAGCGTTTCCGACATAACAATCAGCGACAACCAGATACAAAAAGTAGTATTAAAAGAGCCAAGACAATAAGCATTCAAACGACAAGTTATAACAATATCACCTAACGATTGACAATTTAACTAAATGTTATCTTATTTTCAAGCAAAAAGTCAAATTTTGTAGTTACACATCAATGAGTTATTATTATTATCACTTTATTCAAACCTATTATATTTTATTACAATAAAGTACTCTCAGTATACATTTGCTGTATTGAAATAAATTCCTTCTGAATATGCATTTACTCGACAGTATTCAAAATATAAAATTTAAATAAATTTTTAAAAGAGATTACTCACCAATCTTTTATGACTTATAATATCTTTAATTATCTGAAAATATAGTTTATACATGAATTCCAGCTTAATCATTATCCAATTTTCTCAAAATTGATAGATTTCATTTATCTTAATAACACTTGATATTGAGAGTATCTATTATTCAGGAAATATTACCTATTCACATAAATACGTTTGTAAATACCCAGACAATACTTTTACTGATATTTTTTCCAAGTAATAATTCATAAAAACAATCCTTATATCTATATGACTGCAATTTATAGTTACTCTTAATAATCCATGATTGTCCAGATACATTAAATACTGGAGAATATTTTATTGTTTAGTATAGAACATGAATACAAGTTATTATTTATAAGATTTATGTTCAGCTGCACATTAATGACAAAAAAATGACAAGGCAAGTGTATAGGTAACAAACAATTGTACTGTAATTTTAATTAATAATTGCATTGGCTGAAATCTTTTACTGAGGCTACATATGTATTTATTCTTTATTTTCACACTTATTATTCTTAGATTTCATGTATAATTTTAGGTGCATGGTTTCTACATTCAGTATATTTTTATTATTATTATCAGTAATACTAACATAATTTCGATTCCAAGGATTTTCGCTTAAGTAATCTCCTCTCACTGCATTGGTATTTAATTTTGGCAACGTGTTCTGATGTATATTTGTGCTAGTTGCAACATTTATAACTGCCTGTTGTATTCCAAACCATACCAAAGATATTGGTATAATTAAAGAAGGTGGATTTTATACAAATAATTTAAAACGACCATAGCTTAGGTATGACTTCCAATTGGACTATTAGTTCTAAATTTTCGAAATTTACACTTCAGCTACTTTTACAGATTACAGTAGTATAAATAACACGGCAAAAAAGACAAGCAGTGATCAAATGGTAATTAAGTGCAGAATGCTCTGACATCGCGTCATGAATACATTAGAAATGAAGGAAGTCTCATTTTCTGATGATGCTATCAAACCAATTCACCTCGTATAAAAATTGAATTTGTCATTTAAATATGCTATGATATACCAAGTATATGTTGACTTCACTATGACGTCACTGTACTCAACTGTTTTAATAGTTTTACTTTAATATTTCTAAATTCATTGTCTTTGTGATTGGTTCCCGAATATTTATATTAATACTGATATAGAAGTTGATACGACAGAGTGAGACAAAACAACGAGGGTTGCGTAGCACAGTGTGCACAATGGTGATCAACTGTGGATGTGTGACCGAGAACCTTCTGCTACGGTGTGTTCACTGAAACTAATGAGGTTAACATCAATGTCGAACACTTTCATAACTATTTATTTTGGGGATTTTTTCACCGCTACAGACAAAATAATGTACTTTCGGCTAGGGTTATTATGTGTTTTAAAGTGGATAAATCTTCACTTGTACCAGCCTTCTATGTTCATACTTCGCGTAATGGTTTCTCGTTTCCAGGTAAAAGTAATGGGCGACGCAAATGTGAAAAAAATGATTATTCGAAAAACTTCACAGTAATAATCAAGTTTAAAAGATGGCGTCGAGACGGTTTTCCGGTGACATTTCTTAATTAACTACTAGTGGTTTGCGGGAATAACTCTAGATGTCACCTAATTCCATTTAGGCTTTTTAGTAACTATTTAGAACCTCTTGGCTAAAGTATAACCCACTTTTCCTCAGCGGTAGGAAACTGAAAATTAAGATACTTAGATTTTAACTAAAAGGTTATAGGTTCAAATCCTGTGATTCACTTCGAATCATCACCAACTATTACTAACTCTTATACAAAATTGTTTGACTCAAGCTAAGACTCACAAGCAGCAGCTGAATGCAATACATGGTTCTAACCCTAGTGTGATCGTAGATGTGCACTACAGGGGAACCCTACACTAGAATGAAAAAGCTGTTCAGTACACCGTGATTTCCAGTAGTAACACAACTAAGATAAATCTGTGACGAATACAATCCATATATTAAACCAATCTACACAAAACTTCATCCAAGTTATAATATTCAGATTAATAGTGACTTATTTCAACGTTTTCTTAAAGTTTAATTAAGACATTGTAGGCGGTGGAGTTCAAACATGTTGAAAGTGAAACAGTTGTCATTAATAGCACTCAATAATCGTCACACTAACTCACAAAGTAATTGAATTTGAAATTATAACATTGAACCCCATATTACTAGTTCATTAAGAAACTTGAAGGTCCCACGTTAACTCCATAACGAGATCGTCCGTTCTCACTACTCAATAGTTTTATACTAGAATGAAACAGCTATTCTAGTTTTTAATAATACCCCAACTGAGATCAATCTATAAAGAATCACAACTTATTAATAATTTGAATATATTCAGTTTATTCATTTAAATGAAGAAGACAAAAAAGCGCCTATATGAGTTAATGAATTACAGATTAAGTAATAAATAACATAGAACTTCTTTTTAATAATATTGAAACAAAAATTATAAAACAGTAAATAAATCACAAATAAATTAATTCATGACTAGAATGACTACTGACAATTAAAATGAAGTAGTATTGGTAAAATAGATGAATTTTATCACCAGTGTAAAATAATAAAAACAAAATTAATCAATTTTACAAACATATTTCACAAAAAGAAACAAAATATTATAAATAATGATAATAAAATTCAAAAAATAACAATTGAATATTTTCTTTTAATTCAATAGAAACTAAAACATAGAAAGCATAAAATGACCAACTCCAAATGAAATGCACAAACACACACACACACACACGACACAGACGGATACAGTCATATATATATTTATCATTATGAGTCTTATTACAATTATTGTGTATTATGCAATCTAAGTCAATAGGATCATAAATGCGTATAATAGCTCAAAAGAATCTTGTGTAGGGAATATTATTCATGATAATAACCAACCAACCAGCTTCATGATAATATGGTTGTAGCACGTTCAGTTAAATGATGAAGAAGATTTTCAAAGCTAGAAAAAAGAGAGATAAATAGAAAGCAACAAGAGTAACAAAAAAAACTGTTAGACAATAAAAGAAGTTAAAATATACTGATATATGTAAATTAAATCAACAGGTACATATTTATTCAATCTTTTGAATAATATGTTATATATATATTCTTCCGATTAATGTCTGGATTGAAAGATATTTCAATGTTAAACAAGATGGTATGATTTAATTAAAACGAAAGTTTAACAACAGTAGAATCTAACCAAAGTGTGGATCAGTATTGAATAGTACGCTTCAAAATCAACAAGGTGAAATCATGTAATGTTAATCGTGGTAAAGATTTACCCATAAGAAATATGAATCGGCGTAGAACATAGCATATATATATATATATATATATATATATATATCAGTTCATGCTGACACACTATATCAACACACTCAGATGAAATTATCAAGACAAACATCAAGCAGAGCAGTACTATTATAATTATTATTATTATTAGGAGGAGGAGGAGTAGAAAAAACTATGCCTAAACAGTACCACTCAAAAAGAATGGATGGATTCGCGTAACAATCTGAGCACCCGGGAGTATCACAGCCTACACACAAATCAAGTGACTTGTGTGGCGCATATGTATTCAGTGCATCTTTGTACCAATATTTATGTTCAAATAAGTAAAAAAAATAATAAGTTGGAAAGTAGTCTTAATATTCAAGATCTGAGAGAAGATAAAAATTAAATGCATCTGAGTCACATCATACAACGTGTTCAACCACTATTACGATAATCGCGTGAACTCCAACCATGTATTCTGCGCATACTTATATCACTCAGTTCAACAAACAATAACTCAATGAAATGATGCCACTTTTCGGATTGGTCGACTCTACTGTTTTTCTAACCAACACCTACACAGCATTAGATATTACGTGTCAAGACAGGCGGTGACTGGGCATACATGATATAAGTTCCAACAGCTCCAGGCAATGAAAATTCACTACAACTGTATAACCTCTAAAAATAAAATCATCGGAAACAGAAATCCTCTTTATTAAAATATTTTTGTAAATTATATCTTGACTGGAATTATGAATTTAGTGTTAAACAAACATCTTATTTCCCTAGCTGTTAAAACACAGAAAATATTAAAAGAAAATTATTCAACTTACATCATTTTTATAGTTAAACGGTTTTTCCTATTTGGACGAAGTTTTTCAGGTGGTTCAGGCAACATAGGTCCTTCTACTTCTGGATCCTTTTGACTTGACAAAAAGTATGTTACAAAAAAAGTTAACCACTGAACGTTAAGAGGGTATACAATTTTCATGTAAACATGTATAAAACAATCCTGTTTTTGATGAGATACAGAAACACTATTCTACTTGATTGTTACCAATGTTGATGTTACAGAAATCCAGTTTGGTTTCATTTTGTAATAAAAAAGCCTATAACTTATTGGTCTAGATACAAAATTTTCAACTACGGGATAATACATTCCATCACTCGCTAACGTCAACATTGTTTCGTTTAAAGTGTCCCTAAAAAATACTTCAGCAACTCCGAGCAAGACCTAGCCCCCCACACACACATCTCTCTGTGGTTCCCTCGAAGACAGTGGAAAAAGTCCCATGAACTAACATGGAAGGAAAAAAGGATATTAGACTAATCACGCACTTTATCGAAACACGGATTGATACTTACTCATGATACAAGCTATCTGGGTAAAAAACATCAAATATGGGAGAGGAAACCATCATAACCTCCCTGTGGAATATCGATGCCTATGTGTATACTATCGGATGCATAGGTCTTCGACTTATGTATTTTATTCTTGTGTGTAACTTATACTTTCAAAGCTAATAAGCAACAGGTAACCCTTCCCAGTAGCTAGTCCATACTTTAAAGGAGTAGATCCAGTAAAGTTAGTCGCTTTCACCATAATGTATGACTGAAAGGGCACCTCACCAATCCTCATCCTAGGCTAGTATTTTAGACGCTATATTAGTCAAAATAATCCCTCTATGGTTATCACAGGAAGATTTTGGCCCCTTCTTATATATTGGGACGATCAGTGATAGCGATCTGTCGGATGGGATTAGGTTCAGTTCCTAGATTTTAGTTCAAATATTAGTCAGCCTAATCGCTAAAACTGGACCACCATACTTCAAAACCTCTGAAGCCAATCCATCTGGACCAGCTGCTCTTCCTCGTTTCAGATTAGCCATAGCTTTTTAAACTTCAGTTAGAATCAAGGGGGCTACTTCAATGTTGCATTCAGGGTGTTTGGAAATGGTGAGTGGTTGCAGAGTAGCTGAAAGCCAGCTGAACTACTCCTTAAAGTGTTCCGCCCATCGTTCTAAACGTCTGGACTGCGAGCAGATAAGAGTGCCATCTTCTTCCAAGATTGTTTCACTTACACTTGACTTTTTAATTCCAGTTTCCTTTATTAGTCTGAAAACCTGTCTTGTTACCTACAGCCATCGCGTTTTCCATCTCTTTTGCTTTAGATGTCCACCACTGCTCACGGTCGTTCCTTAGACCTTTGTTTAACCTAGATCTGATTTGCTTTCGCTCATCATCGTGTTCAGAGCCTGATGAGATAAGTCTGCCAGAATCCATCAGTACGATAGACTTAGAAGAAATTCATTGGTTTCTTGTAACCCTTTGGTTTAAATCACTAATAGATATCACTGCTGTTTGCATATCTCTCCAAGCAACATCTGGGTCAGCCTCGTTTTCAGAACTGCCCAAGTGTAACCTCAATTGTTCCTGGAATCTACTTTCGGCTTTCTCGTCACTCAGTTCAGTTCTAATGGGTCTTCTTAGTGTGATTTTTCTGAGTCCAGTGAGGTGCAAGCAAATGCGTACTCGTATCAGAGAATGATCAGGGTCCAAGCAGGTATTCCAGAATGAGCGACAATCTACTATCGACCCTCTCCAACGACGACTGATGGCAATATGGTCTATCTGAGTCTATCGTCAATTTGATGCAGGGAATCGCCATGTTACATGATGTTTCTTGATATGTTCAAAATTAGTCTTTGCTAAAAATAAACGACTGTGTGAGAACAGTTGCAGCAGACGACCACCATTGGGTCGCCAGATACACGGAAGGTGTATCTCGTCAAGTGAATGATCACACTATGATCCTGTTTTTGGAGACAGAATACATCAATGGTACGAGATTCTACGGTTTTAGCCAAGGAGACCTGTTGGCCGATTTGACATGGGTTGCATACGTTGGAGGCTCCAATGTGTAGTTTCGAGCGAGGTTTCAGTAGACCTGAGACAGTGTTTCGCGCACTAGAATCGTTGGACATGGTGACACTTGAGGAGGAAGTCAAAAGAGGAAGTTAAGAGTTGAAAGTCGGGGTAGGAAGAATAATAGGAATTGGAGAGGCAAATTGATTATGAATACAGTGACAATGGATTAGATTAGCATAACAAGTACAATCATTTAACAAAGTCACGAGGAAGTGATTAGCCATTTCTTTCTAGTTTGAAGTCCTTCAACAGTGCGTGCTCATGAACAAACATGTGATCGGATTCAAGACTCTCTGGCTTAGCCTGAAGCTTCAATCGACGGACAATACAACACGACCCTTATCTTATACCCAATCAGTAACGACCGTGTCTATCCCAGCATGGTTAACTTCGTATCGATCAATGGATTTTTAATCGAACTCAACTCCGATGTCTATAACCTCAGACCGGAGAATTTCCGAAATTAGCTCTCTAAGCTAGTCACTAATACACACAACGTGGTTGTCAATATACTGGGTATTGTGGGAACAATTAACTAACTCTCTCCCTCGCTGGATTTCAATAACTGTATAAGTGATGTCGGTTTGTGATGAAACCTACCCCCCTCCCTTAACAATAACAATAAAAGTAGTAAAATAATAAAAAAGGACAAAACATACTTTTCTAACTCTAACAGTCTCAATTCTTCTTCCAATTCAATTAGTCGACATTTAAGTTCATTTCGTTCATGTAGCAGATAACGTAATTCTTCTACAGAGATATATTTATTAGTAGTATTTGATTCTTGTTCAAAATTAATTGATTCTAAACCTTGTCCAGCAGGTAGTTGTAGTATTGATTCACATGTATTCGACTTGATGTTTTGAATAAAAAAAATTAAATATAAAGAAGAAACAATAATTGACAGTGTGTAGAAGAAAATTATTAACAATTTGTGGGTTGTATTCTTCATACCCGTTGATCTCATTTGGGACACTACTGAAAACTAAGGATCAATCTGTGACAATCTACAGCACACAAATCAATCTCCATAAAACTTTCCACTCAACTATAATAGTCGCCTCATTGGTAACTTGCTTCAATATGTTCCTGAATTCTGACTGAGAAGTCGTGACTGGTGGAGTTCAAACATGTCGTGAGTTAAAGTTTTAGACAGTGACATTGAATGATCACTGTGCTATCGTTTGAATTGCTTGAAATCGCAGCGGTAACATTAAGTACTAACATGTTTTTTGTAAATTTTTCCCCCAGACCTGAATGTCTTGGGGCCATGAGTGTGCAGAGTCCAATACTAGGACGAGACACCTGTTCGGTGCTCCTTGGTTTCCAATAATACCCCAAATGAGGTCAATCTGTGATGAAAACAACCCACAAACTAAACTGTTATCCCCATATCCACTCAAGATGAACACCAAAGGATTCGAAATAATTGTAGCAGCAATAATAATGATAAAAACGAAGCATTGAAAATATGATTTAAGAAGACGGAATCAACAGCTATACATGAAAGAATACTGGAACTTAAAATCTATAGAATGACAAAGAATGAATGCACCTGAGTCGCTGGGATCAATGTTAAGCCATGTCACGTCTCCACTCCAACCACTGATCGTGGTTATCACGCTGACCTTAACCAGGTAGTCTGTACCTAGTAACGTAACTCAGATCACCAGTCAATGATTTCTTGGACTGATGCTATATTAGGATTTGGCTGCCCTTAAGCTTATATCCAAGTTATTCGTACTCTATCCATCACTCGACGTTGAGGTAGGCAGTGGTTTGTCATACATAACAGATGTTCTAAAAACCTTAATCGATTGCTAAATATATTAACTATAAAACTCAATGACTTGAGTTTAGATGAAAAGCGTCTTGAAAACAGTTTTAAATCTTGTAATGAAATCTCTCAGGTACAACTTTAGAAAAGTGTTTACTTTCCGTTCCTGAAAGTAACCAAGCCACATATATAATTATTACTGTTGATACATCACTACTTTTTACCAAGTCCTGAATATTAACAACATGAAACAATCCAAACTGTGAATAATAATAATAATAATAATAATAATAATAATAATAATAATAATAATAATAATAATAGTTATATTTTTAAGGCTATCAGTCACGTAAATAATGAAGCTAAAATATTTTTGAATATGTGTTAGGTTGTTAGAGATACTGAACAAGAAACGCTCCTTGACCAAGATTTCAAACCAGTTAAGACCCAATATTAAGGGAACTGATGCTCACCAGTGAACTCAAATCTAGATCATTGAGTATCATAACCCAAGACGCTATTCAAGCAACGACCAACCTCTTATAAGACTGGGATATTTACACTAACTAATCACTGAGTAGTGTCCAACGTCAATAAATTCTACCTATGCACAAAATACAGTAATGATTAGCCAATGATGTAAACAATCAAATTATGTAACTTAAAGCTAAAATTACCATTATTCCAGATTGGTTATTATGTAGCGTATCGTTATTTGATAAATCTTTCAGTAAATTAGCCAATTCTCGTTCTTTTACACATAACTGTGTTTCAAGTGTGGCTTTTTCTGACACCAATTGACCAGTTTGACGTCTATGAGGGGCACAAGATGCCAATAATTGACCGCTTTGACGAGCTAAACGACAAACTTCTTCTTCCGACTTTAAAGAAAAAATAAAGCCGACCAAAAGATACAGCAACATAATAAAATCAATATTTCAATAAACATCTACGTTATCAATTATTATACATCAATTCTTTTAAAAACTCACAAGCTACCCCTTCTGTTTTAAATCAAAAAGACTCATTTAACTGAGAAAGATAGTTTACTATCTTATCTGAACTTTCTATTTGATTTCGAAAAGTTTCTGAAAAACTCAAAATGGTTACGACCCAGTTATAGGTTACACTAGACAGTGGTAGAGATTTGTAGTTCAGATGCATGATTTTGGTGGAGTTTCGTCCTCTGAGTTATATTGTTTAGTCGTGAAAATATGCTTGTTCCTCTAAACAACACCATTAATACAAATGCTAGGGACAAGTGGGATATTCAGATTTTTCCACAAATGACTGACAGTTTGTCAGTTTATAGTATGATACGGTCTGTTTGGCTGATATATAAACTAAGTAAGTTTGAAATGAATGATTCGCATAATGGAATGTGTTATGAGCGTTCTGGACTCAACTGGAACAGCTAGGAGAACAGAGGACCAATAATAAGGCTAGGCTGCCCATACCGGTCGAACGTCATTGGTTTGGAACAGTATTAAGATTGTACAAGTCGCATTTCGATTGGCGAATAAATCACGTGATAATTAGCCGAGCTTAAAGTCACAACACTACTACTATCCAACAAGTTAAATATAACACCTACAATACATCGGAATCATAAACCAGCCTGAGTCAAACAACCATTAAATACCTGAAATCACTAGGCGGCCGTTTTGTTCCAGTATGGGACTCGTAAGCAGTGCGCATCCACGACCCCATGACCGGGATTCGTAGATTGGTTGAAATTAGACTTGCACACCATTGGATCCCGGCTCAGTAGCATAGAGCTTAGGCGTCCACAAGTGAGACAGAAGGTCCTATGTTTTATCCCCGGTTACGAGGTTTTGAATGCGCACTGCTGGGAAATACTATGCTAGGATGAAACGACCGTTCAGTGGTTTAAGGTTTTCAGTCATTGTCATTGTAGGTTCGTTATTCCAGTGAAACTCAGCAATCTTCATGACTTATACTGACCTACAATAAATTTCATGGAAATTCAACAAAAGGATGAGGTTTTACTAATAATGGCATCATATGGTTGCTGTAATCACATAAAATCAGTATTTTTCATTACTAAGTGAACGCATTGCAATGGACTACGTTCACGATTAAATTTGAACCAGCAAACAGCATCTAAGTAAACGGAGTTTTAGTGTTCTAACGATTGAGTTAGAATATGCTGATATCAATTCAGTCAATTCTAATTTAGCTTAGTGTAATTTGACACGATAAATAAATAACTGAATTATTACGAAATTTCAAACTATACATTAATTACACAGTAAACGTATGGCTACAATTCACTCAATATAGGATACTACACATTAATACTGTAGTGTTCCTGGGAACAGCAATTTAACGAAGAATTATTATTATTGTTTTATAGTGTGAAAAAACGGCTGAATATATTATGGTCATCATGCAACAATGAACATGATAGACGACAGGTTTATCAAAAAAATGTACTTTTTTGTAAAAGTCTCAACTTTGTAGTAGTGCCTTTGTGACCAATAACTCTTTTGTCTAAAGACTAATGAACATGAAAGCCAACTATTTTAGTTTATGTGTGTTGAGTTGGTCAGTAATAATGCAGCAGATTTACTAAAGTGAATCAAACAAATTTGTCACACCTTATATTAGAATATGAAAGAAAATCGGAAAAACGGAAATTGATTTGATCGAAATAATAATATGAATGTCAACTGCGGTGGAAAAAAGTCTGAAGATGAAAAATCTATTCCCTAAGGTCTCAACTAGCAGATCCAAAGAACAGATAATTTGTACCTCTATTTTTCCACTTAATTCGTACGAGTCAGTTTTGTACATTAAAGTAAACAGTGGTTGAATTCGTGTAACACAGAACTTAACACCATTAAATCTCTTAATGTTAACACTAATAAATGAACGATGATATTTAAAACAAAAAAATATAAACTGAAACCATTTTAACGAGAAAGTCAAGAAAAATGATCACAACGATGTGGATCAAAAACAACACTGGAGCAATAACTGTAGGTACGAAGAGAAAATAATAATAATAAAGGATAAGATTATCTATTTAAATACACTTACTGCATCTAATGAAGCGCCAACTTCAGTTAACTCACGACGAATTTGTCGTGCAGTTTTGTAATTAATTGCTACACATTCTTTTAGTTGTTGAACTAGTTGAAGATCAGCTGCACGATCTATAAAAAAGAAATCAAATACTAACTTTAATATATCTATTATAAACTTTTAAATAAACCATTTCTATTAAATTCATTACATTTGTATAGAACATAATGTTAAATAACTTCAGACAATTCAATAACCCAGTATCAGTGTATGATGTATTTTCCCTAACAGTAACTCTATCAAGCATATTTAGTAATACTATCGAATCATAAGGACTGAATTGTAGTATTAAAAAAACTGTAGTCAAAACAAATAATATTTAAACTTTAATAATTTGTCTGAATTATAAGTTATTAATTTCAATGGTTGAGATCATGAGTCAATTTAAGCTAGATCATCATGGAAAATCTGGAAACACTGGACGGCCGTTCCGTCCTATTGACTCATGACCTCAACCATTGTAATTACTATAATGTTTACAAAAACCCCTTCTGATATAAATTACTAATTAATTAATACAAAATTATGAAGTAGATATAATTATTTGAAAGACGAGAGTAAGACGTCCATACCAAATATTAATAAAAATTGAAGAAAAATAAATAATTATAAAAAAATAGTCATACTCATAAGGAAAATACAGTTTCAATTAACTGGTAAATAATTAGAAAATGACTCGTAATAGAATGGAGATGAGCTTAAAGCAACCACGAATAGACTACAGTCAAATCTAAACTAATCAGGAAACAGGTTATACAAATGGATATTTTATGGGTAAATAATAATAGTACAAAGTGTGAGGAAGGATTTTATATAACTAGTGAAGCTATCAGAGTCTTCTACATATTACTCTGCCTATAAATCGGAAAAACAATGATATATAAATTTGTCCATACAGTCACTAACTTCTGGTCTGAGCCATGTTGGTAGATGCAAACTACTTGGTTGAAGTGCACGCGACTATCGTAACCAATGGTTGGAGAATCTTAGTGACAGTTTAAAATCGATCACAATGGCGTAGGTGTATACACTCTTTGTCTGACCTTAAACTGAGATTAAAATTACTATATACCTTTCTTCCTACGAACTAATTCTTTCTCCCTGTGTTATAATCTCTTTTCTTACGGTATGACCCAGCTATACCTATTGCTTAATATTCATGGACACCAATCACTCGACAAGACCCCAAATCAGAACACGGTTGAACAGGAAGAGAGATTATATTCCAAATAACAAGGTTAGATGGAAGTAAGATGCAAGTAAGAAGCACAATAGGGAAAACGTCAGTATATTGATAGTTTTTACATGAGAAGATTCTAGAGTATTCTCCAAGTATCGACTAGTGCTGATTGGGTAAGAATTAGCCAATCAGCGTGCACCAAGGAAATCGTGCATTAAACATGCTTTAATCCAGTCTATGTCCCGCTAACACCCTGTATTATATCCCTACATGCAGCCTTTCTTCTATATATTACTATCATTGAAGTAACTGCTTTTATAAATTTGGTGGTCATCTTTTTATGCTAACACCGATGCATATATGTGCCTGGTCCCAAGCCGTAGATGACTGACTTGTCTTTAAGGATTAAAATTATTCATCGTCCAAACTCAAATAGATTTCGAAAAGTTCTCACATTATTTTTGGTTAGGGTTTTCACTGCGAACTAACATCAGCTATAAAACTGCTTTGTAGTTATATGAATGAATGAATTCCAAGCAAAAATTCAAAAGGAGTAATCCTAAGCCCAACTAGTTTACCTACAAATCATAGTGCCATCAGGTTTTGTTTCAGGACTGAGGCTTATAATTTAGGAATAATGGTAATTTGCCTATCACATAAAATCTACATGGAAAGAATTGAGCATTTGATATGCTTAACACCATCATTTTTGTCCTATAATGGCAAAATCTAACTTTTCGTTTTTAATTTAAGAGTTCGGAGTACTATATAGTTATTTTTACTGCTCACTTTGCGTAATTCTTGAATTTCGAGAAAAAATTCGTCCTTTTGTTCCCGATAAATATATATCAACCGACGATTTGCAAATATTTTGTCACATCAGATTAGTAAACATATTTAGACAATAATCTTTGAATTCATTAATTACTAAAATTCGCAAATCCTTAGAACTTCGTTCAACTGATATGAATTGGCAAAATTTGATAGTTCACGAAAATAGTCGAGAAAAAAGAGCAGAACACAAAAGAATGTTTCTTCTCGAAGTCAAACTAGTTATTTTAAGCGCTCAATTTTTTCTTGTAGTTACATCACGCTTTGCCTTACTGAATATCAAACCATTGTTTCAAATATTATGGTTGAAATTAAATCATATGAAAGTAATATGGTCGAAAGTACACTAAGAATTGTAGTTGTATGATTTAAAGTAATAAACATAATACATGATACTCTACAGAAATATACCTGAATCAGCATGACTTATTACATGATTAAAACTAGAAATCTCCTTATAAAGACAGTCCTATTGTAAATAGCAAGCTATCAGAGTTACTAACTTGGATCACTTTTTACTGGTAATAACTAATTTTGTGGAGAGAATCCTTAAGTCCTCATAAACGTTTTGCTTAATCGAAAGATCGACTTTAAGCCATAATTTAGAGTTTAGTAAAAAAGGCCTATCTTGTTCCCGGTCAAATTACTGTTTTCTATAAATCATATATTCAATTATTTAACCGACTGAAAATGAAAAAAACCTACTTTCTTGTTCAGTTAACTGTATTCTTTCTTCCGTCTCCAATAGTAAACTAGACATCACATCAGATAATTCCTCCTCACTAGGTTTGATTTTTAAGTTGTCATAAATTTTGTCCGTGTCAAGATTGGCTGAAACACCTTTAAGACCCAACTTTGCAGTGGCTAATAAAAAAGCACCTACTTTTGACTGGTGAGATGTTGGACATATAATATTTGATTCATCACACATTACACAATTTTGTAAGATATTGGAATCTTCCTGTTCTCTGACCTCTTTATGACAAGAAGAAATTAAATGATGTGTTAAACGAACATTTTCTTGTTCTAATTCAGCAATTTCTTGCAATAACTTTTGACTTTCACAATACCAACTTTGTTCAAGCTGTTCCAAACTCTATAATTACGTAAAAATGTGATTTTTGAAGACCAAATAATTCTCAGAAACACTTGTTTGGTTTATTTTTATGGTATATCAATTAGAAAGGAGGGCCGAGGACAGAGTTGCTTGGAGAATTCTGATCGAAACCCTATGCTCCAAGAAAGATAACAGGAGTAAGCAAGATTAACTGCTTATTATTAAATTAGTTCAACTGTTTTATGAAATAACACTTCATTGACATTAGCTCTTTAAGCATTGATGCTAGGCCTTCAGTATTCAAAGCTGAGCGGTGATTCAGTGATAATGATGGTAGACTTTCAGTCACTTAGCCCCAGGTTCAAACCCACCTCCACATAATTTAGTTTGTCTAAATCGATAGTTTCACTTTTCCTCATATATATTGTATGGATTGAAGCTAAATACACGAGTCTGTACCTGGCAAATGGAAGTTAAGGAATAACAAAGCACGAATACATTTTTAAAAAGTGCCAGTCAATTTCCTTGATACTCAAAGCTGATTAAAAACTCGGATGAAACTTTTTTGAGATAGATAAAGCAACAATAAGTGTTGATCTATAAGTCTGAGAAACCATAATAGGATTGAAAGACTTACATTTGGATGATAATGGAAGCGTTAATTTTTATCAAACGTTCCAGAAGTATGTTAGTAAACGCCACGGAGATACACAACATTCGTTTAAAGCTTCCTGATTACTAGTGAAATATAGGTGGCAATAAAAACTAGCATACGGAATCGAAAATAACAATTTCACTAACATAAAACTTCCAACGGCATCATTATATTATCACAACCAAATATAAACCTTTCAAGTATAATTGATATTCTAATGCTTAAGTGAGTAGTCTACACAAAAAAATGAATTCAAAATTGATACTAACTCCATTTTTTATACATCCGGAACAAAATGTAAAATCACTAGGATTATGGATGAAAAAATGCCTCCATGTACTTTTATCGACAAAACAAGTGAATAATAAAAAGTACAAATACATAAGGTAGGTAAACAAGTGGTTAAATACATCTACGTGAACTACATTATAACAAATCAGATATCTAGTAACTCAAACTGACTTTATCATATTTATCTTTAAGTATAATGTCAGATTTCTGATCTTGACGAAGTTCATCTGCAACTGTTTGAAGGCGTGCAATTTCTTCCTTTTCTTTATCACAATAACTAGTACAAGCTTCTAATTCTTCCAAAATATAGACAATTTTCGGCATTAAATCTCTTAATACATCATCACCATACTCATCAACAATTAACTGGCATTCACGACCGATAGATAAGGCTGCATCATATACATCCATTGTAGTAAACATTGTTTATTGGTTTTGAGTCAATCTAAAGTTCTAAACAGTGATATGAACAATAAATTATATTAATTAGAAGCCATAAACAAAGTAGAGTAAGAATTTTCGATCAGATATAATTTCACATTTAAAATAAGTATCTATTATGAGAAATTATTTACTTATAGAAACGTATCTAGTTCTTGTCCAATATATTTAGCATACAAGAGTGAGTAACTAGTTTACTGAATATGTTCAAATGTTTTTAAACAAACGTTAGACAACTACAGATTTAGTGTGCTTTACAATACACATACAACTAAAACAAATTAACCTAGTGTTCAAATAAGAATCACGTTTACAAAAAAAGTGTCCCTTCATTGGAATATTTCTATTAACCCACCATCAACCGATCCTTTTCCCTAATCTCGAAGAACAATCTGATTATAGACCCATTTAGATGACTACATCCTGTTTTTTTAAGACAACACGCATGCTTTACTCAGGTCAGTTAATGTAAATTCATAAGATCACTGACTGACTAAACACATTTACTTAGAATTAAAGACAACTTTATATTGTTAACTCAGTAGTTCCATTAAAGGCCAGCGACACTGCACGCACCTATTTTTGTATACTTTTAACATAAATGTCTTCTGCTCTTTGTGATTATGATTCACACTTATAGTATAATATAAAGTAACAGCATATTACTCATTTATTTAGTTAGACAAAAACATTGGTACAAAATGGCACCAAAATATATATGCGCCACAAAAAGTAGCTAACATTAAGTTAGTTTGTGGGCCGGAATACTCCCTGAGTGCACAAACCAAAGGTGGTTTTCTTAAGGGGCCAATCACCGAGTCTTTGACCTAGAGATCCAATCCATAAGGCAGTAGAGCAACATTAGATGTAGTCACATGATATCCGATGACCAAGAACAGGTTCACACACCATTTGCTCCCTCAGGATCCTGAAGCCCACTTGCACCACTGGTTTGGAATCAGGGGTTTTCGACTCCCGTTGGTGAATTTTCCGTACCTGCTAACCCGGTTCAAGCGCTGGACATTCACTTTTCGTCCTACAAACTTCGTGAACAACAAACTTGACACGTAAAGCCAGTGAGTAGGATTTCCCTAACCATGTTTGTAAAAACCTACTGAAAAGCAAACCGGTCTCAGTTTCCACTACTTTTGATTTATTAATTCTAAGAATTCTTTTAGTTAGCATGTTTATAAAACTAAATCAAAAACCCAGTCAAGTAAGTAGAGCGCATAAAATGGGATCATTCGGAGCATACTTTATACTTGAAAAAAGAAAGCCAATGACAAACACGAAAGTCTAACTAGTTTGCAAATTTTTGTACTCGTCGTTGAGCCAAACTTGAGGATTGGGCGCGAATGAGTGTTATTTGGTCCAGAGATGAACTAACAGCAGTAAACCTTCATCGCTAAGTCAGAACTTCATTAAATTAGAAGTTACCATTCAAGTTTCGCAAGAACTGGATTACTTAATATTTCTTCAAACACTAAATTTGATGGTTTCATTTAGTGCAACAATGTCGTACTTATCAAAAATTGGAGGCAATATGTTCCCAGACTTATAGAACGCACGTCAAAGATTAAAAGAAATTCAGAACAAACAACTTCATTTGTCACAGGTGACTTCAAGACGTGAGACGTTAAATATGAAATCACGAGTAGCTCGATATACTTAATAATAAGATGATTGATGAGTCCCATCCCACATAATTGATGGCATTGGATTTGTGATCAACTGCACAAACATATTGAATAAGTAGATGCTTTTTGACATATATCTCTCATACCACAAGAGAAACACAAAAAGCGTACTTTCGATGGTATTAGGCAGAATGGAAATAGATAGTTCACATACATAATTTGTAAACTAATAATTCAAGAACCCTAGCGTAGCTTGCAAACACAACTGTCCAATATCTTGAAATAGTTACAAGTTTTAGGAACTTTTGAGGTACTTTTCGCATAAACCGAGTTACAACATTCCTAGTCGAAATGTTTGATGAGATATTAAATCCGCAAAAATTTCGTAAGTTGACAAATTACTTAGGTTTTGGAAATATTTTTCTTTAGTTTAGAGGCAGTCAATGGCTCTTTGATTTTAGCAGTGTATGGTTTCAATAGGATCACAACAGAATTTCATTAAGACTCAAGGTCAACTGTGCAAGCATTATTGTCTTACCAGAGCAGTTAAAGTGTTCTTCGGAAGTACATAACATGAACAGTTTCTGAAGTTATTAGGCATCCTACTGGCTATTATTACTTATTATCGACTTCTAGTCTGAATTCTTCAAATGCTTCAAATGAAGTTTTCTCTTACCGAGCAGTACCAGTTAATCCTAGATATATTTAAGTAGGGATGTACGCAAAAAAATAAGCCAAAGAGCAAAACGTGTCTGCATATTACTGTGGTATGCTGCGCCCATTCTGAAAAGATGCATATTAAAGTTTCCTCTTATACCATTTCAAGGGAGTTGCTCAGACTAATTTATCCGATAGTGTATTTCAAGACTTGGCTGCACACAAGGAATTATTTGTTTTCCCATAGTTGAAGAACTGTCTTGTACTTAGTTCATAAACGTCCACCGGTCAATGTTTGTTAAAAACTTAAATTATGTAAATATTATCGCGAATCTCCCAAATTTACACGATACTCTAAGTCACTAAATCTAGGGATTGGAGGTTACTGAATTTGGCTGCCTTAGGACTGTTATTACTTAAACGACGTTGTATTAACTTGAAACCAACACAAATAGCAAACGAATTTTGCGGACCTAGGATATCAAGACTTTTAATGTGACAAGATATGCAGCACACAGTAGGCACATGACATCAGGAATTCCCAGATATTTTTGCTGTGAAGCAAATCGGGACGAAGATAACTACACTTCAACACTAATGTGTGTCACTAGACCCTAACAAATAGGCAACAGGTACTTGGAGTTTGACAACGCCTTCACATGTAACACTTTAATAATACAATCATATCAATCGAGTTAAATTAAAGGCAGAAATGTGTAGCGTGGAGTCGAGTTGGGATTAATTATGAACACCGCTACCAAGAAACACGTGCCAAATATATCAGAAGGCGAAGGTTGAACGTAACCAAATAAATCCATAAAATCCCCGAGAAGCCAAATATCAGAAGGCAGTTAATGGACCAAGTCGAGATATATTTGCTGGTGATCTCCTGGTATCGAAAGGATACCGAGATCGTGCCAGGATACAAGCTTGGTTACAGAACGTAACCGAATTCGCGAAGTCACAATCAAAGTGTAAGAATAAGCATGGAAGCACAATATAGCTGTCATTAGCACAGTCAAACAAAAGCACATTAAAACAAACACTGGTACAGTTGGTCATAATAATAATTGTTTTTATTAAACCAGTCGTGTTCTCGTGATAAATTTGAGTCACTACAAATGAAGGAGTTCATAGATATATTTTGAAGGCTGGTTTGGGCTGGCTAACAGTTGGAAGCAATGTATAGTACGGCTTACTCACTCGTGATCTGGTGAGGATTCCTGACTGGTTGCCTTCAGCTAAGAAGTATTTATTTAACTAGGTCAACATCAATGTCTAAGACTCACGGAACTATACATTTTTGGGACTGATTTACCGCTACACCACTTTGTCAAAATTGTTTTCCGGTAATAAATAAAGCGCTGTCCGGTGATCTCAACAATCTACATGTGTTCATAAAGTATTTCCATCACCAGAGCGTTAATAATAGTAGCTACGAGGCGCTAATATATTATATACAACTAATAGTCTACATCCACTCAATTCCGTTGAAAATGATGTGATGGCCAATATTGCGTGACCATACTTCAAAATCACACAACGACATGTTCAACCTAACCAGGTGGTTAGGTTGATAGTGATGATGTCACAGGTATTCAGTGTTTGACAACGCTTCTACCAGTAACACCTTCTAATATATTTCGTTCCCGCCCAGAGAAATCAAAAGACAGAGTCGAGGAGATCGGAAGAGTATATTTGGCGATGACCAATATATCGGAATTCTCTGATCTAATCTGGCTAGCGATTGCGGTTGATGTTGAGCACGGCGTTACCACACGTGATCTGGTGCGGATGACTGACCGAGCGCCTTCAGCTAGGTGAGTCCACTAAAACATATGGTCAGCATCCAATGTCGAAAACTTAGTGCTATTTATTTTGGGGATTTATTTACCGCTACAGATCACTCCCCCCCTAGTGGGGCAGTGACGACCCTAAGACGTGGCCAGCCAGAAGTTTAAACCCAACGAGTTTGTCGTTGGTAAACACTCTTCTGATAGCTTACTAAATTTAGCAGCGTCTGGTCGTCTTTCCTTACTATATGGGACGGAGGTACAACATAGTAAAAAAAGAAAATGTACATGGAAAATTTCGGATCCTCATAAACGTCATCGTTCTTTTCCAGCCGTCCTGGAAAAGAAAAAAGAAAATGTAAGTGCATGTCGAAATACACTCGTATGTGCGTCAAAGCACAATGTCGGCGGAAAAAAAAATGGAAAATAAACTCATGAACACGTAATAGCGTTAAAAAAATTGTTTTTTTGTTTTGTTTTTTTTTTAAATAGAAATAAAAATATATAAGCATATTAAAATTGTTTTTTTTTTTTAAAAATAATATAAAATGTCGAGAAGTGCCTTACGTGCAATAGTCGTTTAGATGTTCTGGAAATCTCACCCTTCTTCCAGAACGCGTCGTTTTAAGTTTATTTTCGGATACTGTCGAAGTATCATCGTGTGTGTTGGTTGTCGGATGAGGTATTATAAGTGTCGGAGTCGTGTCGTTCAATTGTACCGAAGGAAAATCCACGTAGATAGGATTTCCTTCTAAATACGCTGCTTTTAAGCGATCGATACTGATGCTATCGTTGGTTCCGTTCTTATCGACTATATAGTACTTAGATTCACGTTGAAGAACTTTGAAGGGTCCTTCGTATGCTGATTCGAAGGGTCGTCGATGCGAGTCTCGACGAACGAAAACGTGTGTACTATATCGTAAGTCAGGTTGAACGAAAACATCAGTCGATTGAGGTCGGGTGGAAGCAGGTTTAACTGAACGCATTGCGTTTGTAAGCCTGTTCGTGTAGGAGGTTAGATCCATGTTCATTGAAGAGGATGAAGGATCCACGAATTCTCCTGGAAGTCGAAGTGTCGTACCATAAACGAGTTGAGACGCAGTGTATCCAATGTCAGCTTTCACTGCATTGCGGATACCTAGTAAGACGAGTGGAAGAGCGTCGGTCCACTGTGAAACGTTTGTAGCTGATAGCGAAGCTTTCAGTTGTCGGTGAAAACGTTCTACCAACCCGTTTGCTTGTGGATGGTAGGCGGTCGTTCGGAAGCGAGTGCTTCCTAAAAGCGTGGTCAGACGACGGAAAAGATCAGATTCAAATTGACGTCCGCGGTCTGTAGTGATGGTTGAAGGGCAGCCGAAGTTTGCTACCCATCGTTCGACGAAGGTGCGAGCCACTGTTTCAGCAGTGATGTCCTTGATAGGTACTGCTTCTGGCCATCGAGTGAAACGGTCTACGCAGGTTAAGAGATAAGAGTATCCATTTGAATCTGGTAAAGGTCCTACCAAATCCAGATGAACATGGTCGAAACGAGCATCGGGAGTTTTAAACGAGCCTAGGGGACATTTATTGTGTCTGATAACCTTAGATTTTTGGCAGCTTACACAGGAGCGTGCCCACTCCCTCACGTCTTTATTCATTCCAGGCCAGCAAAACCTTTCTGCTATAAGCTTGATGGTTGCACGAACACCTGGATGCGAAAGTTTGTGCAATGTGTTGAAGACATTGCGTCGATAATGTTTCGGCACGATTGGGCGATCCCTACCTGTAGATGTGTCACAAAGTAAGGTTTCCTTACCTGTTCCCATCTGTTTGATGCGTAGTTTAAGTGTTGTGGACGATAACTCGTGCTGAAGATCAGTGTCTTCTTTTTGAAGCTCGGCGAGTTTAAGAAGGTCGATTCCTTGGAAACTGTTCAAGGAAGTTATACGAGATAAAGCGTCTGCAACTACATTGTTTGCTCCAGAGATGTGTTGAATATCTGAAGTAAACTGCGAAATGTAGTCCAGTTGTCGAGACTCACGGGGAGAGTACTTGTCAGAAGGAGAGCTTAACGAGAAAGTGAGCGGTTTATGGTCCGTGAAAAGAGTGAATTCACGACCTTCGATGTAGTGTTGGAAATGCCGTACAGCACAATACATAGCTAGAAGTTCCCTACCGAATGTGCTGTACCTCGATTCGGTGTCTAGCAACCTTCTAGAGAAAAATGCCAAGGGTTGCCAGGAGTTGTTAACCCATTGTTGTAAGACTCCTCCGATTGCTGAGTCGGATGCGTCTACTGCGATGCTAATGGGTGCTCGGGTGTCCTGATGTGCGAGCATTGTTGCTTTAGCAATCAGTTCCTTAACTGTGGAGAATGCTTTTCGTGCGGTGTCGTCCAAATTAATGGATTTCGCATTTCCACGAAGTTGGTCGGTCAGAGGTTTCATAATTATTGCGCATTTGGGTATGAAACGTCTATAGAAACTTACCAGGCCGTTAAACGTGCGTAATTGCTTGACGGTGGTCGGTTCTGGGTAATCCAGAATGGCCGCCACTTTGGTCCTAAGAGGTCGAATGCCTTGAGCATCGATAGTGTGTCCTAGGAAGTCTAACGAGTTGGTTCCGAATTGGCATTTCTGAACGTTTACAGTTATGCCATGTTTTTGAAGTCGTTCGAAAACAAGATCCAGATGCTTGAGATGTGTTTCTCTGTCCGGACTTGCGATTAGACAGTCGTCAACATACGCGTGTACGAAGTTGAGACCTCGAAAAACGTCGTCTATGAATCTTTGGAATGTTTGAGCAGCATTCCTTAGACCGAAAGGCATACGCAAAAATTCATAGAGTCCGAAAGGAGTTATGATAGCTGTTTTTGGTATGTCGTCAGTAGCCATAGGGATTTGGTTATACGCTTTGACCAAGTCGATTTTCGAAAAGACAGTTGTACCTTTCAAGGTAGCTGTCAAATCGTGAATGTGAGGCAACGGGTAACGATCGGGAATGGTTTTCGCGTTCAATCGCCGATAGTCACCAGTTGGACGCCAATCGTTGCTGTCCTTTTTAGGGACCATGTGCAACGGAGATGCATATGGGCTACTTGACGGTCGTATGATTCCTAAGTTCATCATGTGATCGAATTCGTTTTTCGCTAACCTTAGCTTTTCAGGAGCTAGTCGGCGTGCTTTAGAAAATACAGGTGGTCCTGTAGTCGTGATGTGATGTGTAACATTGCTGGTTACACACGGTAGTTTCGTTTGAGTTTGTTGTATCTCAGGGTACTTATCGAGTAGTGGTTGATAGAGTGGGTCTATCATATGTTTAACTGTGACTGGGGATACTCTACAACCAGTAAAAGTAGTTACGCAAACGGACAAATTAGTGTTTCCGTCTACTAGCCTCCGTTTGCGAGTGTCGATGATCAGATTGTGGTGTTGTAGAAGGTCCATACCAATGATTGGCATAGAAACATCTGCAACAACGAAAATCCAGTGGATGGGTTTGCGTAAACCCACGTTAAGGTAGACGTACCTTTTGCCGTACGTAGCGATCGGTTTTCCATTTGCCGCCTGTAAGTTAAAAGCCGACTCCTGAAGCCGGTCGTTAGGATTTGCTGGGAGAACGCTAACTTCTGCGCCAGTGTCGACGAGGTAACGAACTCTCGTTGTCACATCTGTGACGAATAACAGACGGCTTTGTTCGCCGGCTACGGTTGCCGTTAACGCGTGCCGGCTTGGAAGTTTCCCGAATTGCTTTTCGAATCAGTCGGTTTCGTGTTGGGAAAATTGCAGGGTTTTCTGCAATTTCTGGAAAACTTTCCATACTGGTTATGATACCAGCACCAGTCGGGGTTATCTGTCTCTCGTGGTCTAGAGACAGATCGCTTACGAGAAATGCTTCTACGTGGTGTGCGCGATCTCTTACGGTCGTTACGAAGACTAAGATAACGCGTGAGTGTGTGACATAAGTCGTTTATATCATTCTGAGTCGTTTGAGGTTTTTCTTTGACTGAAAATACCTCGGTAGTAGATTTCGTAATTTCTAATATGCGGTCGGCAGATGCAGCTAGCTCGTCTAAGGCGTTGTTCTGGAACGAGACCAGAACTGCTTGCACCTGTTGGGGAAGTTTTGACAAGAAGAGTTGTTTGAATAGGCCTTCGTCGAAAGTTCTTGGGCCTATAACCTCTCTCATCCGTTGCAACATGTCTGTCGCAGAACCGTGTTGCAGGTCGATATTGTTGAAGAGTTGATCTAACCTTTGTCGATCGGTTAGGTCTCCTCGTTTAAGAATCGAGCGTTTTAAGATTTCGTAAGGATCGGAAACATCACTAGTAAACATACTAGGTGTTACGTACCTGTTGAATTCGCGCGGTAGTGCCTTGACTACTGCGAGGAATTGTGCACGTGTGTCGATCACGCCGTGCTCGGAGAAGTCGGCTTCTGCGTAGCAAAACCAGGCTTCGATGTTGTCGGGCCAGAAAGGCATGAGTTGAAACGAAGGCGGGGACAAAGTCTTAAGCTTGAGTACTTTAGGTGTCTGTTCAGTCATGATGAAGTATGAAGTACGATAATGAACAAGGGGAAAATATATATATCCAGGAAAAAACACGAAAAAAAAATCACAATGTTTAAAAAAGTTAAAAAAAATAAGGCAATGATATATAAAAATCCCAAAAAGGAACAGACTCACAGTTGCAATTAGGTGTACCAGATCACGTCGGTTTCACCAATGATGATGTCACAGGTATTCAGTGTTTGACAACGCTTCTACCAGTAACACCTTCTAATATATTTCGTTCCCGCCCAGAGAAATCAAAAGACAGAGTCGAGGAGATCGGAAGAGTATATTTGGCGATGACCAATATATCGGAATTCTCTGATCTAATCTGGCTAGCGATTGCGGTTGATGTTGAGCACGGCGTTACCACACGTGATCTGGTGCGGATGACTGACCGAGCGCCTTCAGCTAGGTGAGTCCACTAAAACATATGGTCAGCATCCAATGTCGAAAACTTAGTGCTATTTATTTTGGGGATTTATTTACCGCTACAATAGGCATTTTCAATGTTTTTAAAAAATGAATGATATCTTACTTGAAAGAACGTACTTTTGAAATAACGACGAAAAAGTATGATTCTCGTTACTGAAGTGTCCAAACTCAAGTAAAAAAGGGAAAAGAATGTAGTCAACTACTCTTTACTACCAGACTAGTACAAATAATGCGGAAAGCACATTCATTCAGCGATGATAACCCGTTTTAATCACCGTTATTGTGAAAGTTGTTTAACTATGACGGAAACTAAGCTTTTCTTAAATAATAAGCGACAACATCGTTCGTAATTCCATTATTCGCTCTATCACTCCTATGCTCCAACCGCGAATTTTAAGACACCGGACACGGTACCAGATGCAATTAGAATCACAGACATGGAGGTATTAATGCAAAATAATTTAACGCCAGTACAACTGAGTCAAATTATTGGTACCAACACCTCAACTCTGTTGATAATTATTAATAGTGAACGGTTCGAGCAACACTGACAATTGCTCGATCTGTATCGATACCTCTCTAACTTTGACTAAGTTTAGTAAGCGACTCGAAATGCACTGACTATTCTTCCACGGAAGGGATGAGTTTTGCTCAACGAACTTGTTTAGTGTCTGATGTTTTACTGATACGACATATATGACTTTATCAGTCCGAGAATAAGCAATCTAGTTATGAAAGAGCACAGAATTTCTTTTGTGATTTTTGTTTTTTCAATGTAATATAGCGAATTCGGCTGGTGGAAATCTTTGCTAACTAACATAATTTGGTGTGAAAATTCCAACTTGAAATTTTAAAAAATAACCACAAACTTTTATTGGCGATATACCCCTTGTTGGACGAACAACAATCATCATGATTAGTCAGTCTCAACAAATGAACCATTCACCGATTGCTGAAATACCAGACCGCATAGTCTGCTCCTTTCAATATAAAAATCCCTAAATAGACACTATCCGATCTACTCTCGTCGTAGTGATGATCAAATCTTTAGTTCTAACCTTGAAATTACTGTAATCGTGTACATGAAGCAATATGAAAGACATTACTGAAAGGCCTGTCACCCTTACGATTTTTACCACTGCATTACCTCTATATTTCGAAATCCATCAAAATGTGTAGACTTCTAGGTTTCTTTGTAAAACCCCAAAACATGCGACTTAAAGTGGTCTCAAACATGATTTTTCAAAATTACTAAATACAAATCGTTGGTAGGAATATTCAAATACTTTGTACCTAATCTTACGTAAACGAACTAATAGAGAATACGCAATACAATCCTTATGACTAGGTCGCAGACAACGGAAACTACCTGCCTTTAAATTTGTCAGCTTATTTATTCGTTCAACAACCGCTGTACACAAGAACCCCAACAGAAAACATAACGCTAGCCATACGAGATTGCACATTCCGGCACTTGACTGGGATGTGATATTCCACTTCCTTAAATCATGTGACTATCTTAATCATACAATTTATCACTCACTATCTGGAACTGTTAATATCGTACTTAAGATATTGCTAATAGTAATTATGAAACTTATATGATTAACTGAATAATCAGACATAAACTACGTAAGCATTTGGGCAGAATAGGGAGTTAATGTCATCACATTGGTTAATTAACATGCTCTGTATGTTTATTTATGGTATTCAAAAAACACTATGATCAAATTCAACCAATAAATTAAACTATCATCTTACTAACCAAACGCAAACCACCTAACTTGCTGCATATTGATAATAGCATTATGTGAGGGAACACTTTGAATAGACTAAGATGTACTTTTTCATCGACTTTATTTTAATATTAAAAAAAAAAGAAAACTGTGATATCTGAATTTTAAAAGTTGAAGAGAACTATTAAATATAAATAAATATAGATCACATCAGCCGTTTTACAATTATATCTGCGTTTGATAAGCGTTCACGTTGATGTTTCAAGTAAGAAGCGTTCTTGATCAAAACGATATTGAAACTACAAAATTTGAAAGCAAAGAAAACGGAAAATGGTAGCTTCTATAAGTAATCAGCCATTTATATCAGTTTTTTCATAATGAAATAAAGACCGAACTGTCGTTAATAGTCGACTGCTGAATAAGATTTCCTTATAAAAGTAATTGTACAATATTTGTGCTTTATGAACTACAGGTTGAAATCTATTTGTCAGATACCACTGAATATTAAAAACCCACCTTAGTCAACATCATATTTCGTTTATTTTTGGAACACTATCAGTTTTTTATAAATACCCTTGAACCTCTAACACTGTTGTTATCTAACATAATACTACTTGAATAGTATTCAGTTTAATGCTTATTAGAAAACATACGTGCCTATGATTTTACAGCTAGTGAGAAAATAATCATTAGCAGAATAGTCCTGGTTATTGACTGCTCTGGCCAGACTTGGACAGAATACGCTGATTGGTTTATTTTTAAACTACTCAAAACCAACAGACGAATCGGGAATATGATAGAATATTCTAATTTGAGTTCTATATAAACTGCAATGAATTTATTACTGTATCTATATTACTCAAGTTATTGCGACACATGTTACCCGCTGTCAATTCTTGTTCTGATTTGAGAAGAATCAAGTGAAGTAAAGTATCGGGAAATACTAGATTGTGAGAGAACAACAATAATTGTAAATAATTATTTTTTATTTAGTCTATTTGTCTTCCTTCTAAATATATAGATGTATATTTCTGACTTAAGAGAGATATATAAAGTGGTTTCTTAGCTGTTTTACATGGATCATAAGTATGGTCTATACAGGATACTGTGGAAGATTATACCTAAAGTACAAACTCAAAACAGTCCACATATTTACTAGCGAAGTATTCTCTGCATCCGTATGTGACTACGGATAATATGTACACGCTGTCTACCCAAGGCAGATTCATAGATAATTTACATAAACCAATATAATATATGAACTAACTGAGGCATCATTGTTCAAGTGTTTAGGTTTAACTTATGGATAACAATTTCCGATGGACAATTTGGACGTTGTGTAGCTAAACGCCGTAATGGAAATGTTTATGCAAACACCCTACTCACATAAAAAATCGAAATTCCGTGAATCGATTGGATTAGCTAATAGACACGGATAACAGCAACTAGGAGTTGATAATAGTTGTCTCCTAAGGACTTTTAAAATCTGGTGCCAACGATGTACTCGACAATGTGTATTCAAAACAAAGATGATTCAATTAGTGTAACGATCTTGTAAATCAGAATCAGTAGTTTATTTTATGAATATATGTATTCGGTCACAACAAATACCACGATCAGGAATCAACCATATTGCTTAAGATATATTTGATCCTTGTCTTTCATAAATATAAAATATATAATTATCTTACATTCATAAATTTCTCGTCGATTCTTCATGAGCCTTTTTCCCCATGTCCTTTAATATTATATCAAATTGGAACGGCAGAAATGCCAAGTCGAAGCGTTACTACACAGTATTGCTGTCAGTTCGTTAGTCCCAGTTAGTCACTTCCTTTCAGGTGTAATAACTCAATGGTCATAAGTAAAAATGAAATTAAAAAGGTTAACAAATATATGATTTACTGCGGAAATTACCTCAGAATCTATTTCGTCAAATGACTTGTACTTTGATGCTCCGTTAGTCTGAAAATATAAGTATACAAATTGTCAATTATATCACTTGTTTTTGATTGAGATCATAAACCGATTGATGTTAGACCACCACAATTGAAAACCTGGAAGCACTGGACGACCGTTTCATCTTATTGAGACTCCTCAGCAGTGCGCTCGCGGGATTCGAACCCAGAATCTTCGGCCTCGCGCGCGAACGCTTAACCAACTGGACCACTGAGCCGGCATCCAATGGTGATAGTTTCTAACATCAACCAATCCAACTTCCGTTGTACTGAGGTAGATACCTGTCTCCACCCGACAAGGATTAGCTCCACTGGTCACGGCTTCTCATTAGAACTCCGAGAATTCCCTCACGAAGCTAGTCACTAGTGAGCACATGTGTTATTTGTTCGGTTTGGGAAATTTCATCTACTCTACTTAAATGAAGGGAATCCAACAGGAAGGTGAACATTATGGTAAATGGTTTAACGAAGGATCTCAGTAAGAACTCACTACAGTTATATGAAGTAAGCCAACTGATTAACATGCCTAGCTTCAACACAATATGACTAGAAGCTTAGCAATTAAATATACGTGTAATCAACACTTGAGTTTAATTACCTGTTTATTAATCAGTTTTGTGACAAGTTTAAGTAATGGAAAAAGCTGACCATATTTTATCTACTCAACGTCTGATTGTCGGCCTGAAAGATGTCTTCCCTCTATGTTGAATTTACCAAACATGATGTAATTTTTTTTACATTTTTTACTTGGAACAGATGTAGGAGAGACAGAGATATACTTTGAAATAAAGAAGCAAAAAAGTCCGTACTTACTCTGCATTCCCCTGGTTCGCCAGTAAGATAACGTTTGTTCAATTCAAAAGGAATCCCAGACAGAGCTGAATTATTAAGAAACAAATGTGAAAATGAATAAATCAAACACTGAAAGCATCATTAAATCTCACATATGTCTTATCGCTAGTTATTGTCAACTGCTTTTGTAATCAAATGTAAGTTCGTACTATGTGCTTAGTGAGTCACCAGCCGATTATTTTCCTTATTCTAATTTTCCCAGATTTCCTCATATACGTTGCTCTGTATGCCTTTCCAACACAAAGCACCCTGAGGCTAGACCCGAAAACCTACATATATATTTTCAATAACTCAAGTGATTTACATCTATTGCAATTCTAGTCATGTAATAAGGTTGCATGCTAAAAAGTTATGAAAGATTGTCACAAGTTTCTAAATTCAGTCTCTTCTTCCCTAACATTACACACTGGACGAAGGCACATAATTCAGGTGACGAATGAAAGCAAAACATCAAAACAATACTACAGTGCTACACAACCAGTGAGTTTAAAGGACATTCAAAATAACTAAGAAAGTAATTTGTCATTGTGGTAAATCTGATGAAATAGTTAATACTGAGAATAATTATAAGAAAAACGTAGAATGGTGCATTGGTTAGGATGTACACCTACCTCTATTTTCTGATCATTCTTTTACACACCACTTATTAGACACTTTATACTTTTAGCTATTTAAATATTTCGATAATGATATTAGAAGACGAAGATTATCAGAACTATGTGATATATTAGCGCAATACATTTCGAACAATCTGGTCACACATATACTTGTTAAGAGCATTTATATATAAAAATAAAAGGTCAACTAGACAGGAAACGGGGTAAGAGGAGATAAGGATAATGATAAGAGTAATAATCCTTATCTCCTCTTACCCCGTTTCCTGTCTAGTTGACCTTTTATTTTTATATATAAATGCTCTTAACAAGTATATGTGTGACCAGATTGTTCGAAATGTATTGCGCTAATATATCACATAGTTCTGATAATCTTCGTCTTCTAATATCATTATCGAAATTTATCAAAGGGACTAATTGTTTTAAATTTAAATATTTCATGAAAGAATGAGTAGAATAAGACAAAACTGATGTTGGTTTTTTCAAATTTTGCTGATGCATGTCAGTCAGTCAATCAGTCAGTATCAACGTAGAACTTCGTACGTACGTACATCAGTTCGAGTTGCCACACCACATTAGCTTAGGTGTATACTTTTGATGATATTGAGTTTATGAATTAGGTTTTATAACTGCATAGCCTTCATTGTCACTCTGGACATCATCAGTGCCTATTTTATGAAGAATACTCAATGAAAGAGGCATTGATGATATTGTTGAGAATGGCAGTGAAAACTTCGTAATTTAGCCATGTAGCTAGAAAAACAACAACACCAAATGTATGCTACCTGAAACTCCTTTAGTCACTTTATATATTAACGTTAGTGTTGTGAATGACCAACTTCGCTCCACACATACATATACACGCACCAAGAAAATTCCAAAAGATATACAATCAATAATAATATAAAAAATTACATACGATGTACTGTTCCACGTCGCGTTGTAGCGAATGCTTCACAAGCTGAAGCGTTGCCTGATGATGGAAATGAAGGTAAACTTGGATACAAACCATTTCTATCTGGAATTGATGGTCGAGATGGGACTGATGGGGGAAGTTTTACTTGAACAGATGATCTTTCTGAATTAAGTAGACCAATCTCTGTATGTTTACAATAAATCACAATCGAATTGATATCACTTATGAAATGAATGGGGGAAAAAGGTAAGTCGAAAAGGAAAGAAAAAATACAATTAGCTTATTACCGAAAAAACCCTTTTTATTTTCAATGAAAAAAGTACCAATAGCTAATGGTGCTTAACAGCATTTATATTTTTATGAAATACTAATGCAACTCATCTACGATTTATGATTGTGGACGAATCGACAAGATAGTAGAATATCCTCACTTGAATTCAGCATAAACTTTTGGGTTATTGAAACAAATATTGAGGAGAGCCAAGTGAATTGTCGTAGTCAGGGCACATTAGACAATAAGAGAACATAATACATTCCATGAAATATGAGTGAATAAAAATTTAGGGATAACACTTAACTAATTATAAAAAATAAGTAATTCAACAGCTTGTCGATTGTTTTCAATTCCCTCCATACAAATAATCAGTCAATAAGTTTACGGAATACAGAGCACAATTATATCAATCAAAATTAACTATCAAGACGAACATTGCGAAAAAACATCCAAAACTTGCATTACAAGGTTTTAATTCTTTGTAATCCCAACAAAAGGTTTGTAACAAGCAATGTCAAACAATTCTGTATGCATATTGGATTTTTGTTAATCTCTAAATCATGTGTCAAGAGGAAGTAAGGCATGATTGGCCAATGAACAAGGACAAACGTATCCGGTTATATTAAATGTGAGACTAAGTTATATGCAAAAGTTGATCCGAATTTTCATTCTGTTTCGATTCCGCTTTTATTACACTGGTTGACTGCCTTGTATTCTGTAATAATCAATTCAAGTTCTGACCTATGCCTAGTTTGTGACCATTGGTCGAACAATTAAGTTGAGTATATCACATACGTAATGAAGCATTGTAATTTATTGAGTACACTGATCTAGTGTCCAGATTATTGTGTTAGTTCAACTGATCTAATTACCTAATATATAGTGCCCAATGTAAAATCGTCAACTACAAACGCGCTTTTCCGTTAATACACATATACTTGAAAAAAAAACGCAAATTTAGAAGATATGGAGATTTACACACAGTTGAAGATGGAAACAATTCTCTCATTACATATGATAGTTATCTCTTTAAAGAAGTCTTATTTCCTGGATAATAATATTTGTATAAATCTTTTTTAGAAATATTAGAAATTTTGTTAGTTGTACGTTAAACTTAGTTAAAACAAAAATGGGGATAAATATTTTTTATATTAAAACAAGATAAGTGAAGATGGTTAAAGTGAACTAAGAATACGTTTAGAAAATGGAAGGCTTTTAAACTGATCGGTTGAACTCAATAGTTGAATAGTAAATGAATATAGGAAAATAATAAGTATGTCGTATATTGACTATAGAATTGTCTGATGGTGAGAATCACTACACAAACAAAACTGATGCTTAGCCATGCTACCGAGTTGAAACTAATTAACATTCATTTCAATAATAACAATAAAAGATTGTATGTGCAAATAGAAAGCCTTGTAAAATTAATCAATGCAGCAAAGCTGCGAATAACATTCACTTGTATAAACTTGTTTTCTGTATTCGCAAAGGATAAGCTTCCCCATTCAATTGCCTCCATATGCATCTACCAGCTCTTGTGGAGCAATGTACATAGGCCGTAGCCAGCTCTTGCTTTCAATTTGGATACGAGAACATTCTTTAGTGTGGTTCTACAAGGGTGAGAGGAAAGCAGTTGGAAGATCCATTCTTGAACATTTAACCAAATCTAATCATTCTACCAATCCACATGTTGATTTTAAGGTTATTTATACAGTTCATCTAAATCTATCTAGATTTCTTCGTATCCGAGCCCTTAATACAGCAGAAGTCCTTGCCATTCATGAGCTCAAGCCTGAACAGTGTGCACAAAAGAAGCATGTCTTATCGTTACCTTGACCTTAATCTATTATTATTGTATTGCATATTAGAAAATATTCCCCCTCTCTCTTTAATTATTCCTTATATACTCATGATTTTATTCATGACTGTTTCTGATATCACTTCATTTAATTTTACACCTTCATTACCTTTAATTATTGTAATAAAAACATTTAAATTGTTTTACTTCATTCATACTATAATCCGTTGTTGACTTATTAATTTTACAAGGCTTTCTATTTGCACACATGCAATCGTTTATTGTTATCATTCATATTACATAATCTAGTATTATAATCTTTTTATTGTTCATATATCCTCACGGAACTAATCAGTTCAACGAAAAAATTTCATATATGTACAATTGTATAAGTTGATAATAAATTCGTTGAAAAAAATCCCTTTGCTGAACTTCGTGTTTTTAATACATAAATGGAAATGATATGTCAATTCATATAAATACTGTTTTTTTTAATCATTTAATATTAACTGAATTTCCTTCAATATACCAAAAATAGATTTTTCTTTCTAATGGTTAACTGGTAAAATAATCATTTGCAATGTTAGAAAATATTTATGACAAACAAAACATAGTAGATATTTAATATTAATAATAAACTACTAACCCGATACGTGTATAACCAGGAGTTGTAGTACGTGGACGACTGTAAACACCAATTCTGGTAATTGCACGAGAAGTTGTAGAACGTGGTGAAAATTTAGCACAAAGAATTTTTCTTTTTAAAGCACGTTCACCTAAGTGGTACACAAAGACACGTTGGAAGCAAAAAAAATGAAGGAAGATCACGATTAATTTAATAATTATTAAGAGATAAAAGTCGTCCATTTTAGACAATCAATAAATTGTAAATGTAAGGACTTGTATTATGGCCAAAACTACTCACAATTGGTATGCAGTTAACAGTAAGATTCTTGATCCACGTTTCATCTTATTTGGGACTCGTTAGCTGAAAATATACGCCTGCATCCGATTGTTGGTATCCACACATTGGAACCTGAACCTAATATTTTTTTGGTTCAAACGCCAAAATGCTCTTCACTGAGCTTTTCAAACCAGATAGTCACTAGCTTACGCAACGAGTGTGAATTTTACTTATAAAGACCTGGATTTTCTCGTTATTCATATTAACGACTTCAATTCATCAGTTTGTTTTGGAATATGTGCGTTAACTTGAGTGGATTGCCTCAATATCGCCATTTAATCACAAGTGTTTGATAAAGCTGGGTAGTGATTAGCGGTAGAGCTCTGGACTTCACTTGTGACTAAATGGCAATATTGAGGTGATCCACTCAAGTTGATGCATATATTCCAAAAGAAACTGATGAATTGCAGTCGTTAACATAAACGACAAGAAAACACAAGTTTGTGTTTTGATGGAGTTTTGTCCTCTGAGCTGGATGGTCCCAATGTGTGAATACCAACAATCGGATGCAGGCGCATATATCCAGCTAATTAGTCTCAAATAAGATGAAACGCGGGTCCAGGATCTTACCGTTAACCAAATACCAACTGTACTAAACATCAGTAAGTAGTTCTAGTCATAATACAACGTGATAAGTACAGATTAGGCATATCAAAAAAAGAAAATTTGAAACAATAGTCACCTAACAAAGAGAGAGACGGGGAGATTAAAAACTATCAACTTGCATAGTTTTACAGAATGTACCATCATTTACTTTTTTCAGTCGCTCCTTGCCTTCTACATTATTACTGGCATTTTTAAATCCTTTATGATGAATTATCATTGGACCACATTATGTATTTCAAATAATCGTCTAAAAGAAAACTTTTGCAGCCAAATTATTCTCGAAAATGAAGTCACCGATAATTGTTAGGATCTCTTAATAGGTCGAATTGTCGTATCATTATTATTCACAGTTGAACTCAGTAGTCGATCTAAGCTAGACCACCATCGAAAACCTGGAACCACTATACGGCCGTTCCGTCCTAGTTTGTAACTCTGTGCATCTACGATCCTGAACGGAGGACTCGAAACCAGGACCTTCAATCTCAGGCGCAGGCAATGGATGAAGGGTTGCGCAAGATCATGGATTGACTGAAGTTAGACATAAATATCGTTGGATGTTGACTCAGTGGGCTAGAAGTTAAACGATAGAGTGCAAAACCAAAGGTCCTGGACTTGAGTCTCATGAGCAGGATAATGGATAGGCGCCTCTGGGGAGCCCCACACTAAGACAGAACAACCGTCTAGTACTCCCATGTTTTTAGTGGTGATATAGCTTAGATCCACTCGGGATTTTAACAGTGAAAATACTACAATCTCCATACCAAAATATTAATCATCAACTAATACTCATTTCCAAAGCATGTATTTGTGAGCTTAGCTTTGAATTACACTTTATGTGCTAGTATTAGTGACATTACCTGATTGTTCACACTAAAGTAGGTTAATAGATGTTCGGATCTATGACCTTATAGTTGAAGGCTAAGTACTTTAGACATCAAATCACTGAAACAAACCTATGGGCTATTTAAAACTGAAAGTGATATTTTAAATAAAGATGGGTTGGTTAGTTCTTCCAGAAAATTTATTTCAACAGGTTTCTACTACAGCAATAAGTAAATAGATGAGATAAATTTATGTGCACAAAGTTGAGGAGGATTAGAATTCCAACTAGATTGGGACTTTTCTGCTCGACTATACTTTGGTTCGAGTTATCGGCTAAAATTACTACCCTGACTTCTGCTATCATTAATTCTTACCAAATACAATATAAAAATGAGCAAAAGATGATATAATGAAATTAATGTTCACCTGTATCTATTGTATTATATATCGCTTGATGATTTGCAGGAATATGTTCACCGTCGTCTACTAGTACCAAATTTACAAGTATTGGTCTTTGTCCAGCCTTATATTGTTGAAGACATGATAAAAGGATATGATAAGTAAAACAATTACATAACATGATACCTACATATATAAGTAAAATTGAGCAAGAATATCCGAATTACAAACTAGATGCCCTTAGATTACTCAGTAGTTTACGACCAGAAACATGAAACTTGACGATTTTGTTTCAACTAACACAATGTTCTGTCAGATTATTGAGTAAATAATGTTGAGGACATTGGTACGATGCCGAGGAATTACGTCTAACGGCCAGATCTTAGCTGACTGGCAAGGAGTGACCTACAAGCTAATTTCCTCCAATCGCCTGATATTTTATTGTTTATTCTGTGTTCATATTCTGTATACGAGCAGGTTATTTTGATACGAAAAAAACTTACTCATCTAACTAGAGGTCTTGTTTGTGATTTCAAATCATTCGTCAGCTTAATTCAACAGCACGGTCTCGTGAGTAACCATCATTCAGCTATATATCACTGCGTCTATTTATCGATTAGAACTCTCTTAATAGATCTTAACACTCGAAAACTACGTCTAACGAAATCCCAAAAAACTTTCCTCTACAACAGATATTTATCCTACATCTTCACAAAAACTAGATAGTCATGAAACAAACATCAGCCTTTATTTATAAACGGCAAATGTAGCGTTAATTTGAAGGTCTTAACGTCGTAGATTGGTCTCAGCTTGGATAACAGCGAAAAATACGAAGTACCACATAGTTGTTTTGTCTTGGCATGAGTACTTAACGGTGCTAACCCACTGCCCCACCATTGATCAAACTCAGGACTGCCAGGTTTCGCGGTAAATGCTTGATCAAAACCAATGGATCGACGTCTAACGGCATAATTTCAACTTCAATCAGCTCGCGTTATAGCGTGAATATCACCTCATTCCACTGATGACAACTGTTTCACTCCAAACACGTTTAAACTTCACAAAACCCTATCAACTGAGTGTTAATTTGTATCTTATTTTCATGCACCAACAGTTTATATAGTTATCGAATACAATGAAATTTCTCTGAATCGCAAAAACGATGAACTACGTTTCTAGTATATGATTGAGGTGAAATGAAAACTCAACTACTATTAATCAGTCAAGTTGCGCAGTCAGTTATTTAGTTGATAATCGGCAATTATCAGTGTCCTTGTCCACGTTATTTTGAAAACCTAAATCATACAGCTTTATGAACTCTTCAATTGTTGAGTTCATATATTAAATTTCGTTAACTGTTTCCCTTTAAATGAAAATTAGCCTTTCTCATTATCATTCCTACTACGTTATTCCGATTTCTTTTCTATTCATTTTGTTAACTGAATCTCGTACTAATGTGGTATGGCATTCTGGGTCAAAGTACATTTGTTCCAGGTTCTACATTTATTATAACGGACTGACTGGCAAGTTTCAAATATAACACGACAAAAGTTCAGTATAGATATTACAAAGGCGTTGAGGTAAGTACAGTTTATCAGTCCCCATCTTAGATTATTTAGCTCGACGCTGGTGTCAGATGTCTGGTTTTTCTTACCTTTCTCCTAATAACAGATATATTATTACTATTTAATTCCGTATCCGATTTCGCACTGAATACATTACAGAGTGATATAACATCGTTTAGTGAATGATGTTTTAGAAGTGATAATTTCCGTCTATAACTATGGTTCTAATAATAACTGTAATAAAAGCCTTGCTCATTATCATAAATTTTGTTGCGGTAAAATATTCTCAGATTCATTTGTGCAACATCGCAACAAATCTCTCTTTAACACACACTCAAACTGTTTTTAAGAGATTATATGTTACAAATGTTATTTTCAGTAGTTAGTATCTCCTACCTATCTTCAATGTCAAAAATCAGTTATCCGACGATACAACTGTTTTTCTTTTCATCCATTAAATGCTGAGTTTATAAGTTCCAATATATTTGTCTTTTATTTTTCAGACGACAGACAAGGAAGAGAATATGTCAACAAATGTAGTGTTTCGGTCTGAGATATTTAGCATTTAAGCCTTTCAAAATACTGCATTAATACATACATTTGGAATCCATAATCATTCATTTCAAGGAAATCTAAGAAGGACGGCTTATTGCAATATTTCCACAGTTGAAAATTAGGTGGTATAAATGTTTGGACAAACCACCTCAGTCTGTGTACATATAGCAAAATGTATTCAAAGCATTACTTTGTAAACAAAAATCATGAATTACATTCTGACAGTGAATAAACAATCTGACATTTGATTTCCAATTTGACATACAACTTTCCGAGTAAGAATTTTATTTTACTTTAGCTTATTCTCTACTAGTTCTTTAGTAATATTTATATCTTTGGTGTTTTTATTTGATTCGCTATTTACTGACTTCAACGTCATTGATGTATACCTATATAAAATGTAGATAGTTTGAACTGATAATCGATATTCTAAATTTTGCTTTTAACTTTAAAACTAGACCACATAAAATGGTTAAATTAGAATATCTTAAACGAAAGCCAAATGTTTTCTTCTGAAAACCCAAAAGAAATAGGGACCAACCGAATTCCTTCAAGCATTGCCATACTATCCAATCAAAAATATCATATTCATTTCTAACAGTATCTGAAATATGTGATATATTCTGGCATATAGATAAATATGTAATTACAAGTCACAATCCCTGTAAACTGTTAGAATACTTATCTGTTTTGAATAAAGTGCACGATTTTATTTTATTTAAATTAACTAATCACGTTCTTGGATACGAGCTGCACTCCAAATGTGAAGGCTAATGATACTCACAACCCAGTTACTCAACGAGTAGGCAGGACGGGTCCGGAACCTGAGAGTTAATGGTTGAAAGTCGGACCCTTCAACCACTGAGACACCACATAATTTATCAAGACAAATCAATAAATCATTGAACTTACACATGTATTTATATTTTCTGAAACATAACATAGGTATCGTGTACGTCGTGAAAGGAGACTTGATGGCCACAAACAAGCATCATCAGCACTATCTGAAGTTCGAGATAACTAAAAAAAGATTGTGAACATTAGAGCACTAGCAAACCACTTGGTTTAGAAGGAGTATGAAGCTGGTTTCAGTTAATTAATCGAATAAATGAAGCAAGGTTTATATGATAACAACTTTGTAAAAAATCAAAAGATAATTTCAATGTGATGATAAAAGAGACTTTAGGATGGGACGTTTCAGGGTAATTGATGATATGAAGTAAGAAATTAGGTGAGAGTACTCAGACAGAAGTACTTACATTTGAATAAGACTGTGTTAAATCTGGTATTATCTACCAGAATGCTAAGTGACAAGTACTGATTTTAAGACGCCTGATTTGTTACTTGGATTTGCATTTCCCTATTGTCAACTTAAGTGATGTTCAATAAATAGCGAACCGTCTTCACATATAGCATAATTTTTAAGTTCACGGTCACTTATGGAGTATGTTACTGATGACTGGTAAATGAAAACATGGTAATAAGAAAATAACGGGACACAATCAAAATCTCCGATGAAGCGCATCCTCATAAAGCATAATGCTCCCGGCAAATAATCCTACTTGTAACCTATTAATTAAACACATGTTTAACGAAGACAACTAAAGCACAATGCATGAGAGCTACTGGTACTACCACGTTGGCCAAACCGTATTAGTTGAAGCGGGGTTCAAATATACAACCTGCAGGCTGGAACCCAATAGCTTCGACCACAGAGCCTAAGCTCTATAAGGAAAATAACTAATTAGAATATGATAGTAAACTGCTCTCTCCAAGAGAACATATACTAAATCAACCACGGAGAGGCAACACTGAATAAAAATATTACATAAAGCGAAGGTAAATATTACAGAGCCTTCTTTATTCATGACTTTCGTATATTTTAGATGGTGGAGAACAGTAACCAATCAGATTCAATATCGACAGAATAAGCCGCTAGTTACTTTCGGAGAGATCCTAATAGGCAACTTCATTCTATAGTATTTCATGATTTCCTCTAGAAATACGATGAAAACTTAACAGTCGAACTACTTAGTTCATGGCACACAGCTTCAACAGGATTGTACATACATACTTTATTTATGGTTGCAAATGTAGAGGTCAATCATTCATAATGGTCAAATACAGCTAATTATGTTTACTTCCACAAAACCCGAACTTTGTAGTTATAAATAATAAGGTCAAAACTAACAACATACTAGCAATCTTTAACAGTACATCAAGCAATCATTTTCATAAAGGAAGAAAATTGCGACACATCCTTTCTATACGTCTTGTCAACGAAAACCGACGCGACAACAAAGGGAAATGTTCATTGTAAGTCGGCTACATAAACACAACGTACACATTTTTCAGCTTGTATCTCACTACAATATATGTGAAATCTAGTCAAATGTTCGGATGAAACAGTTAAAATAACATGCTCTGATGATATCCTTAAAGAAGAATCACAACTTATCCATGATTTACCAAACAAGGATACACATATTCATCAAAGTTCCTGACAAAACAGAGACTGAAGGTGAAATGAAATCACCGACAGCACCAAACATACCTTTATTCCCGAAGTTAGTTTAAACTTGATATAGTAGGTGGAATAATTATCTGACATACAAGAAAAACCACAGAGCATTCATTCGATGTAACAAGATCATCCGTTTCCTCTTCCAGTCAACTGATATTGTGTTTACGGAATAAGAATAAACTAACTAGCTTCACAGGCTCCGCCTCATATTAACAAATTCAGCAGCTGCTATGGGGCCAGGTATATTGTATGTATAACCAGACGAATACATCATCGTATTTCTGGAAATCACCGTTTGTGGTTGACCAAATGACTAAAAAACCAACCGGAAGTTCTATTCTGAAACACTGCTTGATATTTGGTCACTATACGAGTATAAATTCAGCCGTTGAAGTTATCTGCGGATTCCTTTCAAAATTACCCCATGCTTCCAGAATCTGGTTACACACACCGCAGAAGTCATCGGAATACACATCAATAAATCTAGCCTTTGTATACAAAAAGCGTTTGTACGGTCTCTTGATTTATCATGACCTACACACTCGCTACTAAATTTATCCAGACCCTTCAATTTTGTTTTCTAATTCTCTTCTTACATGATCTGATAATCCAGTTTTCTTCTCACCTACCCCATTAATTACTTATTATTAATTCTATTCAGTCAGTCAGTCAGTAACAACGTAGAACTTCGTACGTACGTACATCAGTTCGAGTTGCCACACCACATTAGCACAGAGATGCACTTGTCGATTCAAATCCCGTAGTGATAGAGGTAATAAGAGTATAAGCAGTAATCAGGAAGATTAGGGTTTGGAGATGTTATTTAAAGAGTATAATCCAGTGAAAGAAATTTGGAAAGAGGAAAAAAGGGACATGAAGAATTCAGAAGATTAGAGTTTGGGAGAACACAGAGAGTGGATGCACCTGCGCCATTGCAAACGATTTTGAGCCATGTCATTCAGGGTCTCTAACCATCGGTTGCTGTCATCTCGCGGTCCCCAACCAGGTAGTCTACACCTACCAACATGACTCAGTTCACTTGTCAGTGACTTCATGGACTTGTGCCATGTTTTGGTTTGGCCGCCCCTAGCTTTCTTCCAACCTACTCCTATACCACTGAACATAGCACGTCGAGGCAGTCGGTCGTTGGGCATACGTAACACGTGTCCCAGCCATCTCAACTGATGAAGTTTCACTACGTCATCAATTGATTTGCCATCCTTACCTAGTACCCGTTTCCTAACAACTGTGTTACTTACTCGATGGTCCCATGATATACGAGCAATGTTTCGAAGACACCTATGATCAAATACTAGTAACCTACGGATATCCTCTACTCTTACCGGCCATGTTTCACTGCCATGAAGCAGGACGGAACGAACTGCTGCGCGGGAAACACGTCCTTTGGTTGGTAGACGGATATCTCGCCTACGCCATAAATGACGCAAGTTGGCAAAAGCTAGTCGAGCCTTCTGTATCCGTGCTGAGATTTCGTCACACACCAAACCACAAGGGCTGATGAGACTTCCAAGATAAGTGAAGCGGTCGACACACTCAACTACTTCACTCCCTATCACTAGTTCGGGTGTCGATGTAACCCAATCCTGAAGCAACATTTTGCATTTCGAGGGAGAGAATCGCATCCCGAACATGCTTGCATTGTTGTTTAGAGTGGTCAGAAGACTCTGCATTTTGTCAGCGTCTTCACCAAATAAAACTATGTCATCTGCATATTCTAAGTCAACAAGTGAACCTCCTGGTAGAAGTTCAACCCCTGTAAATTTAGATGAGGAGAGTGTTATCTCTAAAAGTACGTCAATGACAAAGTTGAACAAGAATGGAGAGAGTGGACAGCCCTGACGAACACCACTTGAGGTAATCAATTCTGATAACAGTTCGCCATAAGCTCTCACTCTACCAGTTGTGTTCGAGCAGAGAGCCTGTATAAGGTTAATGTACTTCTTTGGTACTCCTTTCAGTGACAAACACTGCCATAGAACCTCACGATCAACGGAGTCGAATGCCGATTAATTCTATTAGTAACACCAAACATTTATATTCAACTATTTAATTTCAAGTTTACTCAGTTCCTAGTTTTACTGTTATGTAAATAGTCGTGATAATTAACCGACTATGTAATTTCACTTTAGTATTGACTTTTGTTATCTGTTGTGTACCTTACCGATTACTAATAATATATGTAGCTAAACTGATCCATCCCCATTCAATCGGTATTAATTTTGTACTACTTGGTTGCAAAACTAATTAAAGAGGGACATTTCTGCACCCAAATCACATTTCTAATATCGCAGTGTGAATTATTAATACACACATTATTAAACTGCAGTATTCCCGAAGTTATTAAATACACTAGAGGTAAATTGTTACATTAGCACGAGTTAAATTGAAAAGATGGGGAGGCGAAATAATATCGACAGCAATGGAACGCTTAACCTCAAGCAATATCGTTTCAGTGATTCCTCTATACGCGAGCAACACAGTGAAGCTTCCATCTTACGGCGTAACATAATAACGATAAACACTTACTGTTAAGTAATTATCACCTTTAACACGGTATAAAGATAAATGTACAACCTGGCACGATTATGTAACAACCCTGCCTGGAGCACCTCTGGGGTTAGTGAGTCAGCTACAACGTAGGACCAGGTACATATATGCATCGGTCCAAGTTGCCATACAACATTGTCACAACAAAATGAACACCGAATTCATAGTAGTTAATTCAATGGTGGTAATATATAAAAGAAAGATTCTATATAAGGACATAGTAAAAGAAGAAAGAATTAGATCGTAGAAACAAAGGCGAGACTCTAATTTATGGACGAGCCAATCAGAGGCGTTTGAAGGATTTCAAGGTTACAGCGCCAACTTCAGTGCTTAATGCTAACGTACGATGGGTTCACAAGGAATTTTGTACAAAACGTGATAATTGAGCGGCTATAACAAACAAAACGACGAGGCTATAATTTGTGGACGAATCAATCAGGTATAAGAATAACAGATCTCGGATTTGGGCACGAGAGCCTTTCATCCATTTGGCTAAATAGACTTCTGGCATTATAGCTAATGTCAGTTCGTGATGAAAAACCCATATATAATTCCTAACTAAAGCAAATTACGACAATTATCGCGAACTAGATAATAAAAGTACCAGTAACACTAGCTGCAGTCAGGTACTACAATATATAAGGATGATTGGAGAGCCTACAGACTCCTATATAGGCTTGGTTATGTGCATCGTGTCATTATCCTAAAGTAGCATTTTGTTTACTCAACGACCGAAGTGCACATAAACAATATTGAAACTGTGGTCGAGGCTGAAAGAGTTTTTGAGACTTTATCACGGCTCCGGAGGCCAACTATTCTGTAGCCGTATGAATGATTTCCTTTACTGCATGCATTACGATTTTAGAACCTCTGGACCTCTTTCTAACCTTGACAGGTTTCTGAACCACGTATAAGAAGTGTATCCACTTTATTTCCTTGGTTTTGTATAACATATTTTCACTCTATACTGACTGTTTGCTGATTGGCTAATATTTCTCAAGATCGCTTAAGATTCGTTCAAAGGTTGTCCATAAATTAGTCTCGCCGAAACAAAAATATAAAGCAATTTTAATCTCATAGTTTAAGGGAACACAAAGAGTGTATACATCTACGCCATTGTGATCCATTCTGAGCCATGTCACCCAGAGTCTCCAACCATTCGCTACGATAGTCACGCGGACCTAAACAGGTAGTCTGCATCTACCAACATGGCTCAAGCAAAACGTTAGTAAATCCAAGGACTGATATCACGTTTTGGTTTATACTTGATATAGTAACTAACTCGCTAAAAAACGCTAACCAGTGTTTACGGATTAAGAATAAACCAACTAGTTTAACAGGCTCCACTTCAGATTAACAAATTTAACAGCTCTTATGGAGTCAGATGTATTAGGTACATAGTTTTCAGTCACTTTTAAAATCATCGACACCAACACTATTAAGACTTCACTGATATTCAAACCATTGCATTTATCTCACTACAACGACAATTCTTAGTAGTCATAAACGAAGTACATTCAAGTCGAACTTCGTATTGGTGATGGTCTTTTAATGAAGACATAACATCCCAATCCTCCAATTTGGAGGGAAAATTTGAAGCCACAATGAAAAAGTATTGGGAAATGGCCCAAACCCCCAAAATTCCTTCGAGTGTGGGGAGATCTCCAAAATCGTCAGCTAAGTCTTGGGATTTCCCTAATGTTTTCTCAAACTTTGACGAAAACTACGAGTTTTCATATGACTTTAAAGAAAACCTCAAAATTTATACAGCTTTGGGAGACTAGCATTCCCCAATAGGCTCAAGGAAAGAACCAACATTCAAAATGAGCACAAAGATTTACGGCGACTTTCAGTCAGTTGACTTTAATGCTTTATAGCTTAAAACATTCCATATACTCCAATAATTTAATTAAACTCGAGTGATTCCTATGTTCGGAGCAAAAAAATAATGTTCACAGTTGTAAAGCAATGATAACAAAAGTGTTCCAACTTACGACTTCATACTTTTGCTGTTTGGTTCCAGCCTGTGCAACAAAACCAACAGCTGTTATTACACAAGATGAATCCGGATCGGTGCCGGGACTCATCGTTGCTCTGTTCCGTTCACTTCAAATCAAGTGACTATTTCAATATAGTCAATCTGATCATGATCAGCTTATTTAAACCAGTTAGTTTGCTTGCACTTGCTTCTTTTCTATTTCAGTGCCATTACAGGTTATTAATGGCTTCTGATTGGAATATCCTAGTCACTCGACAGCACTCGACTAGGAGAGTTTGATTATGAGTTTGTATCTTGAAATTTGGTGGGTACGTTCATTGAATGACTTAAAGTTTCCTGTAACTTGCAGTGATTACGTTGTCTGGTAGTCGACCGATTGACCGAAATGATGGAGCGCACAAAGAATTTCAATTCAGAAGGGCAATGAGAAGACTCGTGAGTCGCCTCGTGCCACATTGTGGTTAGGTGTTCATGTGTAAGTTATTTGTACATGTGTGACTTGACGTGCTATGGTCAAATCATCTCTTATTCTCTTGCGACCTTGTATGAATAACGTCAGGTGCATAAATCTATCTCACAGGATTTTCACCCCATTTTATTAGCCGTCGATGTCTATAGAGATCTCTATAACAGTTCCGTGAGATCTACACCTCTCTTGGAGGCATAAGTTATAAGCTACCTCTTGTTTTTGTCACACAACCTTGAAGGCATGAAGAGACGACGAGCATTCTGTACTTGGGCGACACTAGGTGGTCCGCCAACTTGCATCGGCGAGACTATAATTTATGGACGACCTCTGAACGAATCTTTGGTGACCTTGAGAAATACTAGTCAGTTAGAAGTATTTTTTGACTGACCTTTTTTCAGACACAAATAATAAACATGTGATGTAGTTCTTTGAATAGAGTTGTACCTACTTAATTATGTCTGTACATATCGAACATTGACCACAACGCTGTGCAATCATTGACAATAATAGCCAACGCAAATTTTCAGTTATGAAATTGACATTAAATGTGTCCTCACTACCGGTTTGAGTATTGTGGAGCACAAATTCTGAATTAAGCATGCATCTTAGGTTCACATTATATCAGAAATTTATTTGACTGAATGCCATGCACTTTACTGAGGCCAAAATCACTCACATACGACTCAATGTCAATTATCAAGCAGTTGTCTCACAACATGAAAAAACTCGATGTCGGTGTAGATTAATTTGGTTACAGACCCCAAAAGCACAACCATCACCTGAAACCAAATATCAATCGTTAATCTCGTCGGCACTATATGCATTGAACCGGCAGTAAAGCCGTGTTTTATGTAGGAAATTGCAGATAAATGGGGTTGCCAGGCGTGATGCATTACAACCCTAACCTGCTGTGAGACTTCAAAAACAATAAAGTATGTGGCCATGCACCGACCTATATAAAAAAGACAAGAGGTAAGAAAAAAATAAACCGTAGTCTCGTTCGAAGCGAGGAACAAACAGATTACACTGTTAAAGGCATTGAGGGAAAGAATGATCTTACATTTAGAAATGAGAGTGGGAGTTGTTGTTACACAACACATATACAGGAGGATTTTCGCCCACGTGCAAACCTATTCATACATAAACACTCAAGAAAGATTCACCAAAATTCTTCGACAGTTTCGAGCAGCATTTTAAGCGAGACTATAATTTGTAGACGACACAACGAAATTTAGGATAACAGGTCTCGGATTTTGGTGAGATATTCATTCACCTATTTATCTAAATAATGTTTCGTCATTTTATCTGATTTCCGTCCATCATGAAAACCATAAATCTAACTCCCAACTTTAACCATAAACTGTAAATAATAGTTCTTATTCTTCAAACTGTCTTATAACTTTTATTTAGTCCTAGAAAGTAGGTCACTAAGGCGTCGTCCAAAGGTCGTTTAAAACTATAGTCTTACTACATTTTGGTACACATTACAGTAACATATATTCAAGAAAGTGATGTGCGGTGGTGAGGGTAAAATATGGTTAGTCGTCAAGTGTGGACAAACCAGCACAGCCTACTGATCAATGAATGTATGACTTCTTTTTCCTTCATTTATTCCTACTATGGAATCACTGTGACGGACTGTCTCTCCTTGTGTGGAACTAGGTGTTAACCAGCACTCGTCTTGATTCTCTCCCCTAGTTCGTGGAGCGTGTATCTGGCATAGCTTGATTCAGTGGCTTGTTAACTTATTGTATTAGTATACCGTAAAGAAAAAAATATTTCAAATAATCTATTTCGAAAAATTGCCGACTTGTATCAGTATTGGTCCAAACCACATGATTTTTGAAGCCGAGCGTATAATTCATGAGAAGATTTACATTCAGCATGTCATACTTGGAGAAGATTTTTGATGGTGAACGCGAGAGCAATCGGATTATTCTAAATAGTATGGCTCGGCCATGTAGGCGTGGTCACTCTGTGTTAAATTTATTGTAGTGTAGACAATTATGTGATTTCCAGGAAACATCTCATAAATTAGGTTTTCACATCATGACATATCTAGAGTTTTAAAATGAGGCATCTTATTGTAGGAACAAATATAAATGTTCTAATAACGAATATAGACTATAGTTCCATTTTAAGGAGAAACATTTCGACTACAAAACAAAAGTCATCTAATCGTAAGTTTGCTAGAGTTCAGAAACAATAAGATTATTCCAAAACGCCCTTGCTAAACATTAGATGTGACGTGCCTATTCGATTCCAAAGAAATCCCTGTATGGTTAAGGAAAGTGATATGCAAAGATCTACACTATCAAGTGCTTGTCCGAACTTAATATTTTTTTGGTTCACACACACACAAAAATAATGGTGCAACCTAGAACGGGAGAACGGTTTCTGTCTCCATAGAAAGCTTGATTCGTGAATCTTGGCGAAACGGACATTAAGCTTCTAATAAGCTGGTTTGACATTAGGGCATGCGTATAAGTAACCCATGTACATGTTGAGCTGCCGGAAATAGTGCTAAGGCTTTATTGTGTACCTTCGGTCAGTTTCTCTTTGGAACTTAAATGGTCACAGTCATGCGTTTCTTCACACTAGTATCGTTCACCATGTGCTTACGAATTTTTCTGTTAGGTCTTAACCGACTTCGGCAGATCAAAGTCACAAATGTTAGATCTATAACTAATATGACAATCTAAACAAAAGTTATTTAAGTCACACGGATTTCAGAATCCTTACAATTTGAAATATAGTAACAGACTTTCTGCAGGGTGTCAAAAATCACCGTACAGATTGAACTATATCTGTCAACACAACTACAGCACATTTGTCATCCATTCTCCCTAATAAATTGGAATGTTATTGGGAGTAGGGTCTTCTACAGGAATGGTAAGTGCAACACAAGTTTATTTTCATTGCAAAAATCATTTGCATGCCATTTTTAGAGGTTATTTGTAACTTAGGTCTTTCGTTTTCTCAACTTTCTACCTCTACTCCACCAATAAACTGTTCCCTAATCCAGCCAAAAACCTGGGTAGTGGGAAGAACTATCCGCCTCTAGTCTCCATTCCCAGATTTTTGTAATCTGAAGCCTGTGCTACCGTTATTTATTATTTGTTTCTTTTCTCTTTAGAAGTAATTGTATTTATGCCCTTGTCATGTTTTCGGCTCATCTTTCCTCTTGTTCTTCATTTTTCTAGATATCTTCACTCAATTTACTCCGCTTACTCAGTTAGTACAGAAAGTACCTTCTATCTGGGCGCAACTCCCTGAAATTTGACTATCAGCTTAAAAACCCCTGATTTCATCGAGACAGTAGCTTTAAAGTAAATTCAATTGCTTGACTTCAAAATAACGTAGAGTCAGCTGTCTGGAGAAATCACAGAATAATGCATCCAAAGGAAATCAAAATTTTACGGAACACCATGAAATGAACATTAATGAGTCATCGCGTAGTTACTATCTTTAACTAAGATATTAGATATCAGATCTTTTGTTTGAACCTATAAATTGGAGGGCGCTGGTTTTTTCGAAAGAGCCCTTGTAGCGCATGTTAGTTCATTATGGTCAGGATAACATCTGAAATAGTTGAGAATGCTCCACAGTTTACCAACGCCATTAAGGATCGTGAGCTTAGTCTCAGAAGTTACAAGTTTCCTGCGATCGAAAATATGGGATGTACATTGGATCAGTTCGATACTATTGATCTTTCAGATAATGAAATCAGAAAACTCGACGGATTTCCAATGTTAAAACGTCTAAAGTCATTAATACTTACAAACAACAAGGTAAACTTTCTTTTGTTAAATCTGATTCTGAACTTTAGCTTATGTACTCTTTTTATTTTTGAATTACTTCAATCGTACCAATTATGAATGTTTTCTCCACTCTCATATAACTAAACACCTATTAATGTTGAACCCGATTTACTCATCTAACCCTTAGTAGTAGGTGATTCGTATCAAACGTCCCATACGTTCTATCTAAACAGTTTTAGTTGTTTGCACATGTCTTCAGTAATAAGGATAGGTCTATCAACCTATATTAATCCTTGCAGTTTAACACTGGAAGTCCAATCTGGTTTTGAATGTATCAACAATATATCAGCTAAATAAGAAACTTTTGCTATTGGTGTTTTCGCTGTCAGATTTCTTATCTGTCGCCTCCGAACTTCTTTCTTGTATATAGCTTCCACACACCCGTTGTCTCATCAATTCCCGTCAATCCGTAAACTGTGCAAATACTCCTAGAAAACATGACTCTGCCTCTGAGGGGATCCCGTCTACTTTGATAGATGCATATTGAAACCGTCAGTCGTCATTCAAACATGGTACATCCTATTCTTCTACACAAAAGATTCGACATTGGCGTTTGATTTAGTTCTCGGTGTGATCAGTGTCTGTTTATGCCAATAATTGGTCCAGTTTTTGGTGAGACTAATTTATGGACGACCTTTGAGCGACGCCAAACTAACCTTATGAGCGTCTAGTTGATAACCTGGACCAAATGAGGGTTATAAACCTGTGTGAGAAATTTGAACTATAATTTACAGTTGGTAGTTAAGGCTAGGAATTAGATCTCAGGTTTTCATCACAAATTGACATCAGCTATAATGCCATAAATCTATTTAGCCAAATGGACGAGTGAG